AAGTGTAAATTTTCCCTTAACCCGGCAAAAGGGTTTGATTTTGGGTGAACATTTGAGCCAAGTTTTAAGAAAATCCTTCAATTGGTATAGGAGTTATAGAGCGGACACGAAAATGGAGAGAGACGGACGGACGGACCGACCGACGCGACAAAGCGAATCCATTAATTATAGCCCCCCCCCCCCCACACACACACATTTTGTGGTGGGGGTATAATTATTTAAACGTTATAAAACTAATATTTGCCGTTTTTAAAGATGGAAAAGTTTATTCGTTTCTGGGACAAAATGGACATTTTAAACACCCCTTTCTCATTGGCATGTAAAGGGGGTATGGCTACAAAATGTGAAGAGTCTGTTTAAGGCACGGCTATGTTATCACTAATTACGACACTAAGAATACCAGCCTTCTCCTTTGGTGTATTACACAAGGTACCATTGTCACTGAAAGGGTCAAGTCGGGAAGAATCATTTTTTAAATCTGTTTCAGAATTGTGTACTTTATCTTTTTTTTTAACTTGGAAAGGAGTTAATAATGTTATGCCACAGACCTATTATTGCTAGGAAAAGCCGATTGAAAAATAAAAACAAAGTATAAAAACAATTGCATTCAAAAGGTAGAGCGTGTTTAAAGTCCTCGACCACATAATATGTTTTAAACAACATTTTTGTCCCATTATCTTAAATATACAATATATTTTATCTTTGAATTATTAGTACATGTATTTCTTCTGCCCATGTGTAAACACTGCTCGTTAACTATTTGGGTCACTGTTGGATCTCACCCCAAACGTTTTGTTAGGTCACCTGTCACAAAGTGACATGGTGAGCTTTTGTGATTGCTTTTCGTTCGGCGTCCGTCCGTAAACTTTTACTTTAAACGACATCTCCTCATAAACCGCTAAGCCAATTTCTTCCAAACTCCACAGGAATGTTCCTTTAGTAGTTATCTTCAAAAATTGTTCAAAGAATATAATTCCATGCAGAACTCTGGTTGCCATGGCAACCGAAAGAAAAAACTTAAACAAGAGGCCATGATGGCCCTGAGGTCGCTCACCTGTATATAGGCCCCCAACCCCCCCCCCCCAAACGTTGCAGGGCTAATTTAACCCAAGGGCTTTTATTTGCACAAACTTGGTAGACACCCATAAGAAGATGTTTCATGCTAAACATCTAAGCTCTAGCTCATTGGGCTTTTTAAAAGATGATTTTTTTTTAAAGTTTTTACTTTACACATATAGTTAAAAACAATGACACCCCTGGGGCCGGGCCAGTTTTGACCCCAGGGCTTTTATTTGAACAAAATTTGTAGACACTTACTAGAAGATGTTTCATGCTTAATATCTAAACTCTAGCTATTTGGGTTTTTCCAAAGAAGATTTTAAGTTTTTTATATACACATATAAAGAAAATCAATGACCCCCGGGGTGGGGCCAATTTTGACCCCTGGTCTTTTATTTGAACAAACTTTGTAGACACTCACTAAAAGATGTTTTATGCTTAATATTTTAACTCTAGCTATTTGCCAATTTGGGTTTTTTTCAAAGAAGATTTTTTAAGTTTTTGCTATACACATGCCATATAAGGAAAATCAATGACCCCCGGGGCGGTGCCAATTTTGACCCTAGGGCTTTTATTTGAACAAACTTGGTAGACACCTATTAGAACATGTTTGATGCTAAATATCTTAGCCATAGCTTTTTGAGTTCTTTAAAAGAAGATTTTTTAAGTAAATTTTACTATATGCATATAGGGAAAATCAATGACCCCCCGAGGCGGGGCCAATTTTGACCCCAGGGCTTTTATTTGAACAAACTTGGTAGACACTTATTAGAACATGTTTTATGCTAAATATCTTAGCTCTAACTCTTTTGGTTCTTTAAAAGAAGATTTTTTATGTTTTTACTATATGCACATAGGGAAAATCAGTGACCCCTGGGCCCGGCGGGGCCAATTTTGACCCCAGGGCTTTTATTTGAACAAACTTGGTAGACACCTATTAGAACATGTTTAGTGCTCAATATCTTAGCCATAGCTCTTTGAGTTCTTTAAAAGAAGATTTTTTAAGTAAATTTTACTATATGCATATAGGGAAAATCAATGACCCCCCGGGGCGGGGCCAATTTTGACCCCAGGGCTTTTATTTGAACAAACTTGGGAGACACCCATTAGAACATGTTTCATGCTAAATATCTTAGCTCTAGCTCTTTTGGTTGTTTAAAAGAAGATTTTTTAATTTTTTACTATATGCATATAGGGAAAATCAATGACCCCCCGGAGCGGGGCCAATTTTGACCCCAGGGCTTTTATTTGAACAAACTTGGTAGACACTCACTAGAAGATGTTTCATGCCAAATATCTAAGCTCTAGCTCTTATGGTTTTTTAAAAGAAGATATTTAAAGTTTTTTCTTTCGGTTGCCATGGCAACCAGAGTTCTGCACGGAATTAAATTCTTTGAACAATTTTTAAAGGTGACCACCAAAGGAACATTCCTGTGAAGTTTGGATGAAATTGGCTTAGTGGTTTATGAGGAGATGTCATTTAAAGTAAAAGTTTACGGACGGACGGACGGACGACGGACGGACGCCGGACGAAAAGCGATCACAAAAGCTCACCCTGTCACTTTGTGACAGGTGAGCTAAACATTTGGCATGAAACATCGTCTAGTCAATGTCTACCAAGTTTGCTCAAATAAAAGCCCTGGGGTTAATATTGGCCCCGCCCTGGAAGTCATTGATTTTCCTTATTTGTATATAGTAAAAATCTTCTTTTAAAAAACCCAAATAGCTAGAGCTTAGATATTAAGCATGAAACATCTTCTAGTGTCTACCAAGTTTGTTCAAATAAAAGTCCTGGGGTCAAAATTTTCCCCAGCCCAAGGTCATTGTTTATCTCTCTATATATAGTAAAAACTTAAAAATCGACTTTTTAATAAAAAAACGTAAGAGCTAGTGCTGAGATATTTAGCATGAAACATCTTGTAATGGGTGTCTACCAAGTTTGCCAGCGGTCCAATGTAGACGTTCTCTGGCGTGGTTCTCCATCAAAGAAACACGGATGTCAGGATGTCTTTCATTCATACCAGAATCAGACGATTAATTCCTTATTGTCTGGCTAGATATCCGTACATTTACTGCATTCGGAACAAGAACTTGTAGTCCAACCCACAGTCAACAACTTAAACCACTAAACCAACGACACCCAAACTATGTCTTGTGTGGTTTTTCGGCTGCTTTTATACAGGAATAGTGACATACTGGTAAAGTTTTGTGCCAGTATATTGCAAGCAAACAGGTTGTGGATGATAGATAAGTGACGAATATAGAAGCTCACATATAATACTGCTCACATGAGCTAAAAACAAGAGAAAACACCAAGATTTAAATAAAATTTAATGTCATATTTCTTTCATTTTATTTCTATAACATTCAAAACTGCTATAACAGCATGTCAAAGCAAACTACAAACCAGTACTTAGAAAAGCAGACTATGCAAAAATCGTTCAACATAGCAAATGGGGTCTTTTTCAAAATCACAACTAAATCAAAAAGCTAGTTCATGAAAAAAGCAGCAGAATTCGAGTTCACAAACCTCGGTACAAGAGTGACGGTAATTTTGTTTGCAGAGCGCTACATGAAGATGTAACACAAGGTCGATTGCATTAAAAAATGTCTCTGAACAATACGGGACAAAAAAACATGTGCAGTGCCCAGGACTCACTTTAAATAGTTTAATACCAAATGTACACACTTGAAGGTTAGCAACTTTACCGAAACTTTGAATGTTATTTTCTAGTTTTACATGTAACATAGAAACAAGTCTGCCAATCCTCATCAGCAAATGACGAATAAATTAAAACCTTTTATTTTTTATCATGAATTTATCAACGTATATTTTTCTGTATCTGGCTAATTCAAGATCTCTTTTTTGCTTTCTTCCCTTTGGCAGCCCCTTTCTTTGCTCCTCTTACCAGATTCTTAAACTGACCCTTCATCTTTGCTTGTTTCCTGGAAAGAAGAACAACATGAATGAGGCAAATATTTCTTACCAGTATCACTCATCACTACAATGTTTGATATACAATCTACCATAAAGAAATCAGATATTTATACAAAGTTTAAATATGAAAATTAAATGTTAGAGTGGATTACACATTTAAATGTTCACATAAGCTAGAAAAAATATTAAGAATGAATAGCATCAAAGAAAATTAATGTTTACTTATTGTTCACATGCCCACTTAAGTATCTATTTGTGGGTGTGGACAAATGGACAATGCCATTTCAATATCTCCTTACAATTTTTATCAGCAGGAATACTATCAGTTATCAAAGTTCTTTAAAATTTGACCTTGTGAAGGTCAATAAGTACAAAGGTCATTTCAATGTATTACTGAAACTTTTCATGGTCCATAAAGGTCACATCAAAGTATTAATGAAACCCTCCAAAGTTCAAAGTTAGCTGCATACTGACATGGCAAACAATGTGCATTCCAATTTTGTTTGTTTGTTTGACTTTTCTACAAGTTTTAACACAATTATTAAGCATTATGGCACATAGAAATATATTTACATTAAATAAGCTGTTTCAAAAAATAACAAAGTTTAAAGCTAAATTAAAGGAGAGAAATTTGATAATGAAATGACTAACCTTTTGTTAAGACTTGTGAAATCTAGTGGAACATAGGCATAAGGATCATGTTTGCCAACTTTCTTCACATCTCCACCTCCCTTCTACAAACATTACATAAAAGTAATTTTCATACAAGAAAGTCAATAACGAATAGTAAATATGGTTACTTAAACACAACAATAATGATTTTAGTGAAAGGATTGTTTACTGAAAATTAGATTCATTCATTCAAGACTGTACAGTCATGTAGATCTATAGAGATTACAATTAACATTGCCAAAAAAAAAATGATGTTTTAATCTTTAAAATCTAACCAAAACATCTTGTAAACTTTTAAATCTGTAATGATCTACTTTTTAAATTTGGCATCTATCAAAATTTTAGCATGTATCAAAAAGTAAAAAAAAAAACAAACAAAAAATATTTTTTTGAATCATGTTTTAAAAGTCGTGCGTCAAATATTTGGACTATTTTGCATACTGTTGAAGGCTGGATGACTGTGAACAGTACAATGAGCCAAGAAATTATAAAAAAAAATCTTGCAGAAATGTTCTTAGTTTATAATAGTTCAACAGTTGAAATTTTGATTTATAAAAGGAACAAATATCTCATTTTTAAACACAAGTTTTTTTCTAATTGTTGTTGACCAATTGTTATCTATTTATTTAAACAAGAGGGCCATGATGGCCCTGAGGTCGCTCACCTGTATATAGGCCCCCGGAGCGGGGCCAGTTTAAACCCCAGGGCTTTTATTTGTTTATTTGAACAGACTTGGTAGACACCCATAAGAAGATGTTTCATGCTAAACATCTAAGTTCTAGCTCATTGGGTTTTTTAAAAGAAGATTTTTAAAGTTTTTACTATACACATATAGTTAAAAACAATGACACCCCTGGGGCAGGGCCAGTTTTGACCCACGGGCTTTTATTTGAACAAACTTTGTAGATATTTACTTAAAGATGTTTCATGCTTAATATCTAAACTCTAGCTATTTGGGTTTTTTCAAAGAAGATTTTTAAGTTTTTGCTATACACATATAAGGAAAATCAATGACCCCCCCTACGGGCGGGGCCAGTTTTGACCCCAGGGCTTTTATTTGAACATACTTGGTAGACACCCATTAGAACATGTTTCATGCTAAATATCTTAGCTCTAGCTCTTTATGTTCTTTAAAAGAAGATTTTTTAAGTTTTTACTATATGCATATAGGGAAAATCAATGACCCCCTGGGGCGGGGCCAATTTTGACCCCAGGGCTTTTATTTGAACAAACTTGGTAGACACTCATTAGAAGATGTTTCATGCTAAATATCTTAGCTCTAGCTCTTTGGGTTCTTTAAAAGAAGATTTTTTAAGTTTTTACTAGATGCATATAGGGAAAATCTATGACCCCCGGGGGCGGGGTCAATTCTGACCCCAGGGCTTTTATTTGAACAAACTTGGTAGACATTCACTAGAAGATGTTTCATGCCAAATGTCTAAGCTCTAGCTCTTATGGTTCTTTAAAAGAAGATTTTTTAAGTTTTTACTATATGCATATAGGGAAAATCAATGACCCCCCGGGGTGAGGCCAATTTTGACCACAGGGCTTTAATTTGAACAAACTTGGTAGACACTCACTAGAAGATGTTTCATGCTTAATATCTTAGCTCTAGCTCTTTGGGTTCTTTAAAAGGATATTCAGGCAATATAATGATAAAATATGAAAATGATCTTATGCACTCAAAACACGCTAAAATGACATTTCTTAAAGTTCCAGCATGAATTTCTGTTTAAATTCTATATATTTTGGGTTTGAAGCGTAAATATATCTATATATGGTGAACAAAATTTAGTCGCCAATAGAATCACCAAATAGTTTTAAAACAAGTCATGTGACTTGAATAAACCCTTGAAGTTACAATAACAGATTTTGTGGATATTGTATAATTGAAACGAGTCTATGTCACTCATTTGACATGTTCTTTTACGTTTTCAGAGTTCAATGTGACAACTATTGTGAAATCTTAGGGCTCTAACCTGACCCACGCCGGTCAGGTTAGGAAACCACCATTTGATTCTTTATATGGAGAAAAGTTTCGTTCCTTTTACTGTCAAATGAATTCATTTTGTGGGCATTTACAGAATAATAAATGAAAAAATCAAAACTAAGAAATGTAAATTTTGCCTGTGTCTCCCTTTAAAAGAAGATTTTTTTAAGTTTTTACTAGATGCATATAGGGAAAATCAATGACCCCCTGGGGCGGGGCCAATTTTGATCCCAGGGCTTTTATTTGAACAAACTTGGTAGACATTCACTAGAAGATGTTTCATGCTTAATATCTAAGCTCTTGCTCTTACGGTTCTTTAAAAGAAGATTTTTTAAGTTTTTACTATATGCATATAGGGAAAATCAATGACCCCCCGGGGCGGGGCCAATTTTGACCCCAGGGCTTTTATTTGAACAAACTTGGTAGACACTCACTAGAAGATGTTTCATGCCAAATATCTTAGCTCTAGCTCTTTGGGTTCTTTAAAAGAAGATTTTTTAAGTTTTTACTATATGCATATAGGGAAAATCAATGACCCCCTGGGGCGGGGCCAATTTTGACCCCAGGGCTTTTATTTGAACAAACTTGGTAGACACTCACTAGAAGATGTTTCATGCCAAACATCTAAGCTCTAGCTCTTAGGGTTGTTTAAAAGAAGATATTTAAAGATTTTTCTTTCGGTTGCCATGGCAACCAGAGTTCTGCATGGAATTAAATTCTTTGAACAATTTTTAAAGGTGACCACCAAAGGAACATTCCTGTGAAGTTTGGATGAAATTGGCTCAGTGGTTTATGAGGAGATGTCATTTAAAGCAAAAGTTTACGGACGGACAGACGACGGACGGACGCCGGACGAAAAGCGATCACAAAAGCTCACCCTGTCACTTTGTGACAGGTGAGCTAAAAATTAACTTTGAACAATACAGGTACCAGAAGAATGATACCTATTTTTCTTAGTGACAAGTGACAACTTACCTTTGACTTGTATTCACTACCAAATTGTGGTTTTCTAGCTGGTTTGTCTTGTTTGTTGAGAGGTCTGTGTATACCACCACCTCCAGCTACAAACAATAACACAAGTTCCTCATAAATATCAACAATTCTATTCTACATAATGGACATTGAATGAGTGTAGATTTAATACTCAATTTATTTATCAATTTGAATCAAATCATATTGTATAATCCCCTGGCGAGCATATTATTGTTTTATTCAACAAGTTCAATAACTTTAGCATTATCTCTTCACGAATATAATATTCTGTTTATCACATATCCATTATAGTTAAAAAAGTCATTTTTCATGCGCTTTAAATTTAATGTAACGTTAATATTAGCGCGGTTTAATGCTATGTTTATAACACAAATGACGTCACATCAGTGTTGTAACACTAGTGTAATATCGTTTATATGAAATGGCTTTATTACATTCCTGAGCCTTGGATTATGTGATAAATGAAAATACAATGTCAAATCTATAGATTTACTATTTCTCAAATTTTTGTGAAATTAAGACTTTTCACATGTCAGTTTGTTCACTATCTCATGCTCGGAAAGTTATCTTACGAGAAAACAACTTTCTTCCTCATAGAAACAAGAGCTGTCGATAGAAAGCATGGACGCTCAACTATTCTTATTGCTTGACATTAAAACAAGAGTCTGGATAATGTAGAATTTTCAAAGTCTAAATTCTGTCAAAACTCATGTTAGAGTTAACAGACTTTGATAGTGACATCCTTATATACTGTGAAGTTTCAACCCATTTCTTACAGTAGTTTTGTAGATACCAATTTGCCCGCAAAAACTTAACCAAAGTGTGACAAAGACACTGACGCCTGGGTGAGAACAACAGCTCTCCCTATTCTTTGATTAGTCAAGCTAAATACAAACCTTACAGCAGCAAGGAGAAAATCATCCTTTGTTAATAAGAAAATAAATATGTTTAAAGACAGAATTAAATTTATCACTGTTCTGTTATGTGGTACCTTTGTAAAATTATTGTAACAAAGAAGTGACAGACTAACAAGACACTCAGTTTTTCCCAGGATTTTTTCAAGTTCAGAAAGAAAAGTATTTCAGTCAAACTTGAATGTACCTACGTACTGTCTAGCCAAAGAAGCAAGAGTTAGGTACTTCAAATATGGCTAATAAATATATTTAGTAATGTTTACAAGTATATACACATGTATGGTTAGTCACTGACCATATTTAATTTGTAAAACAATGAAAGAAGCTAAAACAATGAAAGAAGCTATTTACCTCTATATTTAGGTGGACTGGAGGTCTCATCATCTGATCCGCCAAGATCTTCTATCTTTCTTTTCCTGGTTTGCTTTATCTATAAATAAAAGTCATTATAAATCATACAAATACATTATATCAGCATAACAATTCGAAATGTTGTCTAAAATGCAAGTTACCTCTTAACAAGCAGAATTTATGTAATGTATTTGTCCAGTTTTACATTTGAAACAGTTGTGATTTCATCACCAAAATTACAAAAATTGAAAAGCCAACAGTATAGAACCTGGTCAGACTACACATTGGCTCTATAATGGTAGCAATGGCTAATCACTTTGGGTTCCAGCACATTTAAACACACACACACAAAATGTAAATGGCCCTTGACTATCTTCCACAAAAAAAGAATTAATCTATAAAAAAATATCAAAAGAACTTGAAATAGTTTTTCCCTAAAAAAAAAGCTTTTCATTTCCAGCCAAGTTGTTATAAAGTAAAAGATGCAAGTATGAATATCCAAATCTGGAGAGCCAGTATACAGTTTACAGCATTTTAAAGAATAAGTTCAAGAAAGGTATATGATGGTATCTGAACAAAAAATGGCAGTCAAGTATGAGGAAAACAGACTGCTTATTGTATTAAGGTCTCACCTTTCCAGAGTCACGTCCCTTCTCCAGAGCTTCCAGTAACTCATCTATATCTTCATCCTCGCTATTTCCTCCTAATGTATTACATTATCAAAATTGTAAAAAAAGTCTAAGTAAATATTAAACAAAAGTTTTCAACATATTTTCAAAAAAATTCACATTGTATGAACTTCAACTTTCAATGTTTCTTTTTCCAGATATTACACACTTGAACTATCACTTCATATTTTTTTAAACATATTAATATATATATAACATTTAATCATCATTAAGTGAAAATAAAGACAAAACTTAAAATATGAAAGAAAATACATGTATAACAAAATAAAATAATCAGAAATCTGTAACAATTATGAACAATCAGTACATTGCATGTAGGCATGTATCAATCATAGCTTTGACAATATGCAATTTCATGAAAACATGGACTAGAACTGACTTTACACCCTTCTTGTTTGTGTATAATAAACATTCTCCATCACGAGACATTGTTATAACCTTAATAACTAGACTACACATAGACATTTAGCTCCCCCTGCTTTTACTTTTAGCACTTCTTGCTGCTATGATTTCAATGTAAAGTTCATATGGCATTTTCCAGCTTCCTACAATTTCAGACAGAATGAGGACCCAAATAAAACCACCAGCATTTCTTTAGCTGTTAAAATTTCTTCTTGACGTAAAACAAGATATGTTTGTAAAACATGTATGCCCCCTATCGGCAGCCAATTTGTCATGTGATCAAGTTATTATGCATGACTTCTGACCCAGTGAACAAGCAATTAATAAGGGTTATCTAGTATCTACTGGTCATGACTAGTCACAAGGTAATAATTATTGTGACCCAAAAGGTTGTGTGCAGCAATTAAAGTTATTAAAAATCTTACCAAATAATATATACATAAATTTTATGAATCAGATAGGCCTCATTAATGACAGCCAAGTTGTTATATTACATAAGACCTTCAAATGTGTATACCAAAAGCACATAAAAGTACTAGGTAACTATGACATTGACCCCTTGACCCCAAAATCAATAGGGGTCATCTACTGGTCATGACCAATCATCTTACCAAGTTTGAAGTTCCTAGGCCTAAGGGTTCTTTAGTTATTGATCGGAAACCGTTTTTACCTACAAGGTCAATGTGACCTTGACCTTTGACCCCAAAATCAATAGGGGTCATCTGCTGGTCATGACCAATCATCATACCAAGTTTGAAATTCCTAGGCCTAAGCGTTCTTTAGTAATTGATCAGAAACCGTTTTTACCTACAAGGTCAATGTGACCTTGACCTTCCCCCTTGACCCAAATATCAATAGGGGTCATCTGCTGGTCATGACCAATCATCTTACCAAGTTTGAAGTCTCTAAGCCTAAGGGTTCTTTAGTTATTGATCGGAAACCGTTTTTACCTACAAGATCAATGTGACCTTGACCTTTGACCCCTTGACCCTAAAATCAATAGGGGTCATCTGCTGGTCATGACTAATCATGATACCAAGTTTTAAGTTCCTAGGCCTAAGCGCTATTTATTTATTGATCGGAAACCGTTTTCACCTACAAGGTCAATGTGACCTTGACCTTTGACCCCTTTACCCCAAAATCAATAGGGGTCATCTGATGGTCATGACCAATCATCATACCAAGTTTGAAGTTCCTAGGCCTATGCGTTCTTTAGTTATTGATCGGAAACCGTTTTAACATACAAGGTCAATGTGACCTTGACCTTTGACCCCTTGACCCAAATTCAATAGGGGTCATCTACTGGTCATGACCAATCACCATACCAAGTTTGAAGTTCCTAGGCCTAAGGGTTCTTTAGTTATCACTCGGAAACCATTTGGTCTACAGACCGACAGACAGACGGACCGACAAGTGCAAAGCAATATACCCCCTCTTCTTCGAAGTGGGGGCATAATAATTCAAAGCTCCCTAACAGTATTCAAACCTAAACCAGAGTGTGAAGTCACTCAAAATCAGCATCCTTATCCTTTACTTAGGACCATCCTAATGCCTACCCCTACCAATCTGTCTGAATTATGTCCTTTTTTAGTTGATTTACATCAAACAAACTCAGTAAATGTCATATAACAACTTTCCAGCTTTACCAGAGGAAAAAGAACCACCAACGTTCCGTGAGCAAGCTGGATAACGTCCTCACATAAGAATACTGTACAACTTACCTTCATCATCACTCGATTCTGTAATAATAAGTCTACCATCAGGTGCTGTCTTAAATCCAGAATCCATCTTCTTTTCTTTCTTTTCTACTGGCTTTGTAGCTGAGAATAAGGGAAAAAAAGAAGTCAAAATAATTAAGAATACCATTGTATCCAAACAAGGCCAATAAGACTTATCAGAGTTATAAATATATTTTCCTATACTAAACCTTTTATGAAATTTAAATTTTATGCAATAATCTTTAAAAAGTTGCATGCTATTAGATTAAACATATTTAAACAAGCTGTATTATAGAGAAAAATCTTCCACTTTTGATTTCAGTTCTTGGACTAAGCAATTCAAACCCATTATGAAAAAAAAATCGTTGTGGACCTAAAGGGCATGAACATATCATTGCTGGGGTCAGAGGAAAACATATCATGCACAAGCACATTCACCTCCTTTTGTAATTAACAAATCAAACAAAAAAGTGACAACACTAACTGAAACTTTTAGATCATGATATGACAAAGCTAGAAACAAATCCTAACTTTGAGAAAAGAAAAATTTATTTTAAGCCTTAGTGACCTTGACCCAAGTGAAATCTGACTTAAGCGTAATAGTCAATGGAAGATTCAAACACACTAATTATCTATGAAATATATCTACAAATGAAGGTGTTGTGGGAAAACAGTTTGTGTGACAGATTGACGGAAGAATATTCCTCTGACTTAATACAGCTTGAAGAAAACAAATGGATATCATATGCCAATCATCACCGTTAATTGTTTCTCACGTTTACTTACATTTACTAAAATACCTTACCCATGACTTTCTTTGCAGCAGAAGTGTCCATAAAATCAGTGATGTCATCATCTCCACCTTCATGTAGCCACGCCTTCCCTGTCTCTTGGTTACCTTTTATTGATCTCTTGGCCTTCAATTTTGGCCTTTTATCTTTCTCAGCTTCTTCAGGCTCTGAATCTGAATCTTTCAGAAGCTCATCAATACTAGAAAATAAAAGAATGAAATCAGAGTTGTTCAGGTGTTTGTTTTCAAAACCTTGGAATACACCAGTATCAGGATTCTTTAGAAATTTATCAATTTTGAAATCCATAGCAAAATAAAGTTACTTTGTATTGTACTAAATTCCTTACAAAACATTTATTTATGAATTAATTTTATCTATGTATGGCAAAAAAAATATTTTCATAAAGTTTGTGCTTAACTGCTACTTTTTTTTTTTAGACTGCCCCTCGTTTAGAATGCTAATAATTAATCTGTATTAAACTATCCTGATAATCAAGGTATGTATTTATTTCAGCCAAACCATTTACTTCAAGATATCACAATCATCAATATCTAGTAAACATTATTTCAATATTTCATTGAATTATCTTTCACTAACACTATACCTCTCAACTTGTGTATTGAAATGCTCCTGTTCATCGTCGCTGTCACTACCCTCATCAGCTCGCCTCTTCTTCTTTGATCGTTCCAGAGTTTTACGTATATTTACAAGCTGTTTACGTATACTGTCTGTTGCCATGTTGTAGATTGTCTCATAGCTAAGACAGGAAATATGGAGTTTACTTTATATATATATTTTTGTTTTGCTGGGTTTAATATCATACCAACAATAAGATCACATCATCACTTTCCAGCTTTACTAGTTAGGGAATACCTCGGGTGACCTTTCTGCATTATTTCAAACATGAGCAAGCACCCGAGTAGAATCAGCAACCTAGCAAAAACTACCTGAATACTAATAGCTTCTTTACAAAGAAGAATTTCACACTCTAATATTATTTTAATCTGCAATAATAATAAAGCAACCTAAAGCACTTCCCCATAGAGGTTCCTGGTTTTATATATCAGCCCAATGAAGAATACATCTGAATCTTAAATGTTCATGTTGAAATTTTGTACCAGTCATTTATACAATTGTTATCTACCAGCAATAACATCTTTTTAAAGACTGTACAGTAATACACTTACGTAAACTTTTTAATGAGCTTGGTATAAACCTCCTTAGCTTTAAATCTGAAATGATGGTGACAATCTTCTTTCATACTTGTTAAACTCTCCATCTGTAAATTATAAATAAAAATACATTTACATTCTGATATATGCCTTGAGGATGCTCAGTATAGGTAAAGTGTACATGGACATAAACTCAAAAACTTGTGTTTAACCAATGTATCAAGTTAGTAAATCCTAGATAATTTGTTAGATGAAAGTAACACTGACACTATTAAGGTCATATGGTGACTATCTAGCTTTCTGGTGGAGGAAGACCTTAGAATGCCCATCCTGATAGCATCCAGACATAAAAAAAATCATAGTTCCTGGCAGGAGTCAAACATACAGTAGTGAGAGGCTAATAACTCATCATTGTTATCCGTTCAGGTGCCGAAGACCTGGGTACAAATTATAATTCACCATAGACCTACATTTTTTAGATTTCAAAGAACTCTAACAGGAAGTTTAATATTGTCAAAATGCAATAAGATTACCTTAAACGGTCTTATAATAAATACTCAAGTTCTTAAGTTCCCAACTCCATCATACTTTAAAAGAATATTAGGTTTGAACCTAAAAAAAAACTATTTCTTAATATCAATAAGATAAGTTATGGCCTTTTTGAACATTCTATTTTCTGAGATTACATTGCATACAATACAGAGAAAATACTTCCTATTCAAATAAAACAAGTAGGAAACTTTAAAACATACACTTGGGAAATTATTTTAACTTCATGGAACTATACTAATTCTACTTACTATAGATTTAAGATACTGTGCCAGTGTAGTGACTGGATACACTGAAACTGTGACCTTCAAAAATGCGAGGGCACTTTGTACGACCTCACGTGACTTTGACCTCAGTAATAAGCATACACTGTCTATAATTGATTCCAACATTCCACTTGATATCTCAGCTGTAAAATTGTTAATAACAGAATTACATAATTTTTCTCTATAATGCCACTTTGGAGTCTAGGATATCAATCAATAAGACAATAATTAAATTGAGATATAATTTAGTGAGGACGAATTGCAATTAGAAAATAATTCTTGCAGTTGGGTTTTATGTGGTACCAACAAAGCAGAGGTCATTTGTCGACTTTCCAGCTTTACTGGTAGAGGAAGATCTCAACTGCCCCTTCATGCATTATTTCAGGCACAAACAGACACCCGAACAGAACCACTGACATTCCAGCTGGATAGCTTCCTCACATGAACAAACCTATGGTAGTGAGGGACTAGTGGTTTGCAGTCAACCTTTACAGCTCAGCCACAGACACGGCAAAATACAATTCAATAAGTATATAATTCAAGTCAGATATAATTTAATTACGATATAATTTAAATCTAAAAATGTTTTTACACTCACTAACAAAACAGAATATATGTGAAGCTCAGATTTTGTATTAACATTAATGTAAGACTTCATCCTAGAGCTTACAAGACAGACAGACAGACAGACAGACAGACAGACAGACAAACCGACACCTTAACAACTAGGTCACCGTTCCCCTCAGACCTCAAATTTAACCATTTAAAGAACACAACAAAAGCACAAATTGAAACCCATGAAAACAAAAACATCAAAGAAACAAATATACTTTAAACTTAATTTACCTTTAAACTGGTACATGATTCTTGTTAAGGCAAGTAGTGTTGCACTAATCATTTGTGGGGAGCCTGCAAATCCTGCCATAACCATCTTGAAATATTCCTCTAAAACACCTGTATAATTATACATTATAAACACAATGTTATTTAAGCATCAACTATTGGAAACACAACTTGTTTTTTTTCCCCTTAAAATTCAAATAGAGAGTTCTTACGGAAAGAACAAGTATTATTATTGCTTCTGGGCCAAAACAAAAATAAACTTTTATATCTAAGCCATTTATTCCATGATAGCACAGCTATTAATTTAGTGTCTGGTTATATAGGAATAGTAAAATTATTTTAATTTCAAACAACTTTACATACTACAAGTAGAGGTAATGGTAAAAAAGAAATATTCTTCATTTAAAAGATACAATAATGGGTTTAGTAGTACAAAATGCTTAACCAACATGTGATGCTCAGGGTTTTCATTTTTATCTCAGCAAACAAATGTACTTACAAAAACAACCAATTGGACAAAGAGTCAAGGTGGGTATTTTAATCAAAAGGCTGAAAATACAACAATTTTACCAGCATTTTAACTGATGATAATGATTGCCTAACTCTTAAAAATGAAAACCCTGGTCATGTACTTGGTGAGTAGGACAGCTCTTGCTATTCCTTGAATAACTGATTTAAAATAACTGATAACTTGATAATTGTGTTAAAATATCTACCTACCATTATCATTATTATCTGACCAACGTTTAGCAGCTTGTCCCATCTCAACAAGGAGATTATATGAAGCTGCCCTGGCCCTCTCTGCCACCTCTTTAGTACACAGTATAGCCTACAATAGTGGTCATATATATTTAATAGTCAGTACATTATCTTATATAAAATTAAATTGAACAGAGGGTATGCCTGCAATGCCAACAATAGTGTTCATCCAAATTTAATAATCAAAAAATTTATCTTAAATTAAACTGTACATAAGATATGGCCTACAAGTTTAAGATAAAATAATCTTTTTTATACTGACTAAACTAATTCAATAATGATGATAAAGAACTGCCAGTTATTCAAGTTGGCACATTCTCACAGAAAGAAAGGCTTATTCTCACTAACCAGATAGAAATATCCTTAAATGTTACTAAAAATAGCGGTGTTGGAAAATCTTATCTCACATGGGCTTATCTCACACTCAACGTGCAGCACTTCTAAATAATACGCGATTCACTCCTATTTTAATAAAAATGAAACGTCAAAAGGTCAAAATGTATTAAATATTTGTGAGCTAATCTATTAAATTGTCTACGGAATCAAAATAGATTGATAAAAGATAACTTTCACACTGCAATGAGTCCTACTCTACCTAGATCCGCCCTTTTCAATAACGATATGTTACTAAAAATAGCACACTTTAAAATATCGAAACATTCTTCGTAAAATCGGATATTATGACACTTTGCCTGAAAAACATTCATGTTTTTTGTTATGATAACGATGCTTCTTGATGACGAATCTCATTTTGATATATTTTAATTGAATATTCGGCCAAAATAACCGAAAAAGTAGAAAAATCTTTGCAAACGGTAAACGCTTTTTTGTCAACCATTGAAGTATGGACTGAAGTCCTTATAAACACTAATATTATGGCACTTTTCGTTTTTAATATCAATGTGTTTTATCATGATAACCTTGCTTTTTGATGAGGGATCTTATATGAATTTATTCTCATTAAATTTTTCACACATAAACTTGGTCAGAAGAATTTTTTGCGGACGTACATAATGCTTTTTAATCCTAAGCCCCGCCCCCTTTTCAAAACTAGGTTCGTTGTAATGCGCGTAGCAAGTAGATTAACTGATATTTGTGTGTCCAGGTGAGTGAGAAAAATAATCAACCATTGGGTTAGCTAGAGGATAGGGAAATCCCAACCCTCGGGCAATCGGTTCAATCGGGAACTCGCCAAGGCTCGTTCCCGATGGAACCGATCACCCTCGGGTTGGGATTTCCCTATCCTCTATCAAACCCAATGATAGATTCTATTAATCTTCCGAAGTTTTTTAATATGCAGTATGGAGTTTTCCTCAGAAAAAAAAAAAGAAACAAATTTTCAACAGGAAAAAAATACTTATACTGTATTTACCTCTGGTACAACAGCTAGCAGGAAATCGTCTTGTCTTTTGTCCAGTAATTGAAAAATATTGACAAGACATCTCAATCTAGGCTGAAATGATAATGATTCAATATATTAAACAAACTGTTAACATGGAAAATAATAAAAAATAAAACAAACACTATTTCCACTACAATATTGCAAATTAAAATTCTTATTGAATATCTAAGAAATCTCAATTTATAAGCTGTTGTATAAGTTCCAATATAAATGAAATATGTCTGTTTGGTTTTAAATCTTAACCTGCTTGTAACAACAAATTCTATCCATGCGACAAGTACATACAAAGATCTGCTGGTTAATACATGGTTGAATGTACAGGCTGACAATAGTCTACACTGATCCCTATTCAGTCAGTACATATTTTGAATTTTTCCTTAAAAATGATGAATTGTTTTGTCCAGATTGAAAGTCGGAAAAATCTATTATGATACATGTCTTTAGCCTGGTAAAGGTTTAAACAATTCTTGTACAATGGGAAGGTAAAACAAAAAGAGCCTGTCCAAATTCAAACAAGGTTTCATGATATATTGAGTAGTTTTAACAAGTTCTCAATTTATAATCTTTTACTAACATGGATGCGGCACTTTGGAGACACCAACTTGCATACCAAAACTTACGTGTGACAACAATGCTGTCACTGATACCTTGCTGAGTACTTGAGCTCTCCTAATTCTTTAAATAGTTGAGCTAAAAGTAATGAAATAAGGACTACAAATACTTACAGCTTTGGAAGATGGACTTGAAGCAGACAGTGAGGATAACAGCGAAGTTTGTATACTGGCGAGGTTTTCTATCACAAACTGTCTTGTCTCAACAGACTTTCCGGAACATATCTCCTCTAGTATACGGTAACATTTCTTCTGTATGGATTTATCTGTATCCTGAAACAATTGATAGTACCTCATTTATATAACAGTTATCTCCCCTTACTAAAAGTGGCAGCCATTTCAGGGGGTCATTAATCAAGACATGTAAGACTAGAAATGTGTCCATAGGACACGGATGCCCCCACACGCCACTGTTCTGTCAATCTAATGACTCTAGGTCAAATAATTTTTTGGACTACATGTGCCACAAATTGAAAACTATAAATCAACACAGGGCCATAATTCTGTTAAATTTGGTCGCAGCAAAAATTCCTTCCTTTACTACCATCTACACATTAAGGTTGTTCATCCCTGGAAGTTTAAGCAAAATCTGCCATCCGGTTTAAGAGGAGTTGCGTTCACACAATTTTACATAGTATATAGTGAAAAAATCAACAAAGGGCCATAATTCTCTTAAATTTGGTCGCAGTGAAAATTCCTTCCTTTACTACCATCTACACATTAAGGTTGTTCATCCCTGTAAATTTAAACAAAATCTGCCATCTGGTTTAAGAGGAGTTGCGTTCACAAAATTTCTACATAGTATATAGTGAAAAAATCAACAAAATGCCATAATTCTCTTAAATTTGGTCGCAGCGAAAATTCCTTCCTTTACTACCATCTACACATTAAGGTTGTTCATCCCTGTAAATTAAAGCAAAATCTAACATCCGGTTTAAGAGGAGTTGCGTTCACAAAATTTCTACATAGTACATAGTGAAACAAGAGGGCCATGATGGCCCTGAAGTCGCTCACCTGTATATAGGCCCCCAGGGCGGGCCAGTTTAAACCCCAGGGCTTTTATTTGAACAAACTAGGTAGACACCCATTAGAAGATATTTCACGCTAAACATCTAAGGACTAGCTCGTTGAGTTTTTTAAAAAAAGATTTTTTAAGTTTTAACTATACACATATAGTTAAAAGCAATAACACCCCTAGGGCGGGGCCAGTTTTGACCCCAGGGCTTTTATTTGAACAAACTTTGGAGACACTAACTAGAAGATGTTTCATGCTTGATAGCTATTCTGTTTTTTTTTTAAAGAAGATTTTTAAGTTTTTGCTATACACATATAAGGAAAATCAATGTCCCCCAGGGCAGGGCCAATTTTGACCCTAGGGCTTTATTTGAACAAACTTTGAAGACACTAACTGGAAGATGTTTCATGCTAAATATCTTAACTCTAGCTATTTGGGTTTTTTTTCAAAGAAGAATTTTTGCTGTACACATAAATAAAATCAATGACCCCCGGGGCAGGGCCATTTTGACCCAAGGGCTTTTATTTGAAAAAACTTTGTAGACACTCACTAGAAGATGTTTCATGCTTAGTATCTAAACTCTAGCTATTTGGTTTTTTTCAAAGAATTTTTAATTTAAAAAGTTTTTGCTTTTACACATATATTGAAAATCAATGACCCCTGGGGCATGGCAAGTTTTGACCCCAGGGCTCTTATTTGAACAAATTTGGTAGACACCCATTAGAACATGGTTCATGCTAAATATCTTAGCTCTAGCTCTTTGGGTTCTTTCAAAGAAGATTTTATAAGTTTTTACTATATGCATATAGGGAAAATCAATGACCCCAGGGGCGGGTACAATTTTGACCCCAGGGCTTTTATTTGAACAAACTTGGTAGACACCCATTAGAAGATGTTTCATGCTTAATATCTTAGCTCTAGCTCTTTGGGTTCTTTAAAAGAAGATTTTTTAAGTTTTTACTATATGCATATAGGGAAAATCAATGACCCCCTGGGGCGGAGCCAATTTTGACCCCAGGGCTTTTATTTGAACAAACTTGATAGACACTCACTAGAAGATGTTTTATGCCAAATATCTAAGCTCTACCTCTTTGGGTTTTTTAAAAGAAGATATTTTAAGTTTTTTCTATTGGTTGCCATGGCAACCAGAGTTCTGCATGGAATTAAATTCTTTGAACAAGTTTTAAAGGTGACCACAAAAGGAACAATCCTGTGAAGTTTGGATGAAATTGGCTCAGCGGTTTATGAGGAGATGTCATTTAAAGTAAAAGTTTACGGACGACGGACGGACGGACGGAAGTTCTAACAGGAGAGTAATAATGTAGCTACTCTATTGTTCTCTCTATTGTTCTTTTTAGCCACACAAAAGAAAATAGCCACATAAAAGCATTACGGAATGAATGACATCAAAGAGAAAGAACAGTTACCTATTGTCCCTCTAGCCACATAATTACTCTCCTGTGAGTGCGGACGGACGGACGGACGCCGGACGAAAAGCGATCACAAAAGCTCACCGACGCCGGACGAAAAGCGATCACAAAAGCTCACCCTGTCACTTTGTGACAGGTGAGCTAAAAATCAACAAAGGGCCATAATTCTGTTAAATTTGGTGGCAGCAAAAATTCCTTCCTTTAGTACCATCTACACATTAAGGTTGTTCATCCCTGGAAGTTTAAGCAAAATCTGCCATCCGGTTTAAGAGGAGTTGCGGTCACAAGATTTCGGGACGTACGGACAGACGTACGTATGGACGGACGGACAATCGGACGGACAAGTGCAACGCTATATGCTCCCACTCTGTGGGGGCATAAAAATAAATAAGCAAATTAAGGAAATAATTTCATATGTCAGCTATCAACGCTCTTTTAAAATGTTATGAAAATGTTAATAGAAGCAATAATGGCAAAAAGATTTTTTATCAAAATCATTGCATTGTAATTTCTTTCATCAGACGTTAAGCATATTTTTGGTTAAGAATGTAAGCAGACAGGTAATTCATGTAATGTAAAAGGTACCTATGTTATTTCCATTTGTTTTGTCAAGTTTAAAACCACATCAACCCTGTTCAGGTCTTATGATGATTTTCTGACCTTACTCTTGGAAGAAAAAATATCAAAAAGTGCCCCTAAGGGCATTATCTTAAGCATTAATGGGGCACTAAAGTAGAACCACCAACCTGGATAGCTCATAATATGAAAGAATACAAACTTCTTAGCAAAATTTTAACCCAAAATTGTAAGGGGCTGTTCAAAGACATCAACTCTAACCACTCGACCATGATTGTCCCTTTTACAATATTATTCAGAGATGAATGGCTTTTTTTCTCGAGTATTTGCCCATTCTAGAATATTTCAAGAAAATTAAGGTCATACCCTTTTTTATATGCTCTTTACCACTATTAGTAAAGTTCAGTAAAACTGACCAACTTTTAAAAAAACTGTGTCAATTTGATTTGCTTTAAAAACGTAGAACCTTTATTGGAACAAGCTTGATAGAAAAAAGCCAAATTTCAGCATTTCAACAATGAATAGAATATTTTTCTCAAATACTAAAAGACACATTACTAAACATTGACGATTCACTTACCTGTAAATGTTCAATAGCTAACTGGTAAACATTCAACAATTCCGTCTCAACCAGATATGGTAAAAATCCTATCAGTAAATCATGTAACGCATGTCTGAAATTTATATATAAATCATCTGGTCATATAACAATAAAACAAATCTAAAACAAGAAACATGGCAATGCCATGAAACCAGGTTTTCAATTATCACCATTGTAGATAAATATGTTGTATTTGAAATACAAATACAAGCAACAAACAATGTAACTATGTGCAATGTAAAACATGAATAATGTAGGAGGAATTGCCACTGAAGAAGTGTTCACTATAATATTATGTATAAGGAAAAAAACAAAGGGCCATAATTAGGTCAAAAACTATCCAATCACAAAACCCCGACAATATGTGCCAGGGTGCTTGATGACAAAGCTTCTGTGAAAGTTTGAACAAAATCCGTTGAGAAATGTAGGACGAGTTCAGCACAGAAGAATTTGTTCACTATAATTATATTGATAATTCTGTATAATGAAAAACAAGTTACAAAGTAGACATGAAATAATATATCATATCTTTTTTAAATTACCTCCAAAGATGATATGACCTTTGACTGCCAAATCAAGTTAAAATCATGTAAACAGGATTTTCAATGTTAATGTCACTGTGACCTTGACCTTGAGCCAGCCATGCGGAACATGCGTTCTGCACGTCATCTTGATGTGGTAAACATTTGTCTGAAGTTTCATCAAAATTCTTCAAAGGGTTGAAGAGTTACAGAGCGGACAGGATTTTCAATGTTAATGTCACTGTGACCTTGACCTTGGAGCCAGCCATGCGGAACATGCGTTCTGCACGTCATCTTGATGTGGTAAACATTTGTCTGAAGTTTCATCAAAATTCTTCAAAGGGTTGAAGAGTTACAGAGCGGACAGGATTTTCAATGTTAATGTCACTGTGACCTTGACCTTGGAGCCAGCCATGCGGAACATGCGTTCTGCACGTCATCTTGATGTGGTAAACATTTGTCTGAAGTTTCATCAAAATTCTTCAAAGGGTTGAAGAGTTACAGAGCGGACAGGATTTTCAATGTTAATGTCACTGTGACCTTGACCTTGGAGCCAGCCATGCGGAACATGCGTTCTGCACGTCATCTTGATGTGGTAAACATTTGTCTGAAGTTTCATCAAAATTCTTCAAAGGGTTGAAGAGTTACAGAGCGGACAGGATTTTCAATGTTAATGTCACTGTGACCTTGACCTTGGAGCCAGCCATGCGGAACATGCGTTCTGCACGTCATCTTGATGTGGTAAACATTTGTCTGAAGTTTCATCAAAATTCTTCAAAGGGTTGAAGAGTTACAGAGCGGACACAATTTCGTTTGACGCCCGCCCGCCCATCCGCCCAGCCGCCCATCCGCCCATCCGCCCGCCATACCCCAATCTAATAACCAGGATTTTCAAAATTGAAAACCTGGTTAATTAGTAAAAAATATGGAGAAAGAGTGATTCCTTGGAAGCATTAATGACAACAAAATCACATGAAAATTGCAGTCTTGGTTATGTCTGTACAGGAGGGATTATGAAAAAGTGCAACAATCAAAATTAACTTCTGAAGATTTTTCTTAAAATTCTTGTACTAATAAAAATCATCAAGTTGAAATACACCTTTTAACATATAAACTTTTTTTTACATAATTAAGGCAGATCACCTTTAGTGTAAAATTATCAGAATGATTTTAAATAATAAACATTACTCCACCTTTTATATGCTGTGATGTTCTCTTCTGTTAGTCTTTCCCTACATTTACTACAATATGTGGCCACAGCCTGTAAGATAGTATTAATCAAATATGTATGAAATCAATATCTATGGTAGTTTATATGTAGTATGATACTTCACTTGTTTGAAAGAGGAAACACTTTAGTTACTCTATGATCCATCCCCAACCCCTCCGCCACCCCCCAAAGTTCAGAGGCACAGAGAACCTTACATGTAACTGTTATGTCACTTCTCCACTTGTTCATCTAGACCTGAAGCCAGATCAGTAAAATAAGTGATTTGAACTACTGTATAACCTCAACAAAGTGGCCCTCAGTACAGCCATGACCTCTTTACAATAGTAATATTAATTCCCAATGTAAGCATTCACAATACATTTAACCTCTTTAGCGCAATCAAAATCTTTGTCTCCCATACTGTGTTACTCTGGCGAGGTTACACTGTATATCTAAATGTCTTTGTATTATCATTGAATGTCAAAAGAATGGCACCCATTGTTCCATGACATCTTTGGTTGACAATTGAAGAAAAACATGTCTCAGTTTTGATTATATAATCACCATATTCTTAGGTAATTTAGGGACATAACCAATAATCTATAGGAAAGTTTCATCGTTACAAAGAATTGTACAGTAGAATAAGTGACAAGACAAAATGAAATATAAACAAGAGGGCCATGATGGCCCTGAGGTCGCTCACCTGTATATAGGCCCCCCAACCCCCACAACGTTGCAGGGCCAATTTAACCCAAGGGCTTTTATTTGCACAAACTTGGTAGACACCCATAAGAAGATGTTTTATGCTAAACATCTAAGCTCTAGCTCATTGGGCTTTTTAAAAGAAGATTTTTTTTAAAGTTTTTACTATACACATATAGTAAAAAAACAATGACACCCCTGGGGCCGGGCTAGTTTTGACCCCAGGGCTTTTATTTGAACAAACTTTGTAGACACTTACTAGAAGATGTTTCATGCTTAATATCTAAACTCTAGCTATTTGGGTTTTTTCAAAGAAGATTTTAAGTTTTTGCTATACACATATAAAGAAAATCAATGACCTTCGGGGCGGGGGCCAATTTTGACCCCAGGTCTTTTATTTGAACAAACTTGGTAGACACCTATTAGAACATGTTTGATGCTAAATATCTTAGCCATAGCTCTTTGAGTTCTTTAAAAGAAGATTTTTTAAGTTGTTACTATATGCATATAGGGAAAATCAATGACCCCCCGGGGCGGGGCCAATTTTGACCCCAGGGCTTTTATTTGAACAAACTTGGTAGACACTTATTAGAACATGTTTCATGCTAAATATCTTAGCTCTAACTCTTTTGGTTCTTTAAAAGAAGATTTTTTAAGTTTTTACTATATGCATATAGGGAAAATCAATGACCCCCTGAGGCCGGGCCAATTTTGACCCCAGGGCTTTTATTTGAACAAACTTGGTAGACACCTATTAGAACATGTTTGATGCTCAATATCTTAGCCATAGCTCTTTGAGTTCTTTAAAAGAAGATTTTTTAAGTTTTTACTATATGCATATAGGGAAAATCAATGACCCCCTGGGGCGGGCCAATTTTGACCCCAGGGCTTTTATTTGAACAAATTTGGTAGATACCCATTAGAACATGTTTCATGCTAAATATCTTAGCTCTAGCTCTTTGGGTTCTTTAAAAGAAGATTTTTTAAGTTTTTACTATATGCATATAGGGAAAATCAATGACCCCCCGGGGCGGGGCCAATTTTGACCCCAGGGCTTTTATTTGAACAAACTTGGTAGACACTCACTAGTAGATGTTTCATGCCAAATATCTAAGCTCTAGCTCTTATGGTTTTTTAAAAGAAGATATTTAAAGTTTTTTCTTTCGGTTGCCATGGCAACCAGAGTTCTGCAAGGAATTAAATTCTTTGAACAATTTTTAAAGGTGACCACCAAAGGAACATTCCTGTGAAGTTTGGATGAAATTGGCTTAGTGGTTTATGAGGAGATGTCATTTAAAGAAAAAGTTTACGGACGGACGACGGCCGGACGCCAGACGAAAAGCGATCACAAAAGCTCACCCTGTCACTTTGTGACAGGTGAGCTAAAAATTCTCCAAGACTTTACTTGTACTGTCTTTTTTTTATACTTTCAGCTTAATCTTTTCTTTCAAACTGAAAAAAAAAATATCATTTTGTCAAACACAAATTCATTAATAATCTGATGATAGTTTTCAAACAACTGTCCTTTACTTCAATCTATTCATTGAGCTCACCTGTTTATCAGTGATTTGCAGGTATGATTTCACTGTTTCTAACACGGCAAGTTTTGATGGATCTTTGTCACGGACAGGGTCTGTTGTGTACAAGTTAAACAGGATAGGCAGAAAATTCTTAGAAAACCTGGATAATTCTGCCTTAGCATCATCTATAAAAGATAAAACAAGATTCCTCATCATAATCATACACCTCAAATGATTGTAATAATTGACACAGTAAAAGTAAATCAAATCACGCAAAAACAATAACAATGAAAGGGACTCCACTGTGGTTTTTTGACATGAAGGGATTGGAAATATTTTTTCTAGACTTGTGTACCATTTGTTTTGGTCTGGACTAATAACTTTGTGCAAAATTTCGGATCATTCTCTCACTCTGTTTCTCCAGAACAATCTTGGTTTTTTTTGTACAAAATGATCCCAACTAAGAATCGTAAAAATCCATTTTTCTGTTTTATTCTAGATATACATGTATTTCTTTATCATCTTCTGCAGATTTTTCCAATTTCAGTGCATCACTTGATCTTTATAAAAATCAAATTTCCTGTTTGTAAACATTTTGTCCCCAATGCTGCTCCTTTGTTATATAAGTATCTTTTATTTCTCAATTTAATTGCAATACATGTCCCTTACATTTATCAAATTTACAATTAAAAGACTGATATAGGCCAGAAAGATGGACAGACACCCTAGATACATGTATGACCAAAAAAGAGGATACTGAATGAGTGTAAGTTCAATACTGAATTAATTGAACTAGGTCAATAAAATTATATTATGCAAGTCTCTGGCGAGAATAATATCATTTAAAGACGTTTTCGGTAGTTTTCTGTGCGCATCGTTATGCGTTTCCAAGAAAGATAATCACCGATAATTACTCTTCAAAAAGAAGGTCAAGTTGAATAGTATTCGGATAAGTGTTTAAACTTCGGCTTTAAGCAAATAATGAGTAAATAATACAGAATAGATATTTCTAAATGTTCAGGAGGAGATCGGTTCAAAAGAATAAGAGGTCGTTTAGACAACATCAGATAAAGGATTTCTCCTAGCATTAGTACGACAGCATTGATGATGATTCTGCGCGCGTTACCCCACCCACTTGTGGTATAGTGACGAAAGTGCGTCGCCACTTGATTACTGGCAGACAACTGGGCAAAGAAGTTTAAAATGATATATTTTAAAAGTGTTGAATAAAAAACAAAATTAATATCTAAGAAATGTTCCGAATTTCATTATTTTCTTTGTAAATTTCTGAATACTTGCTTACTGTTCGGGTATGTTAGTCGAGTGAAAAAATAATATGGCCCTAAATATGTTTTAAAAACATATTCAGTATCATTTACTTAATATAACATCAAAAGAAAAAGAAATTTTTATTACAACATGTTTTTGTTGTATATTTGACAATACATTTAGGATAACACTGATATTTCTTAAGAAAGTGTGGTAATTTTGACAGTTGGCATATGCGGTAACCATGGAAACTGCCCGTTTACAAAAAACTAACTCGTCAACATGTATTTTTATATAGGGTTAACGCACGTTTTTCCGTGTTATAACGTCTGCAGAGTCCCGAGGAACGGTTGGTGCCCGAGCCCGGTAGGGCGAGGGCTCCAACAGTTCCGAGGGACTCTGCAGACTTTATAACACGAAATAAACGTGCGTTGACGCTATTATAGCATAAAATTTTAAAACAGATTCTTGATGTATGTTATATATAAAACACAAACATTTAATCCTTGTGCTTGAACGGTATTTATCCAACTCTACATGTTTTACGTATGCGTTTTATTTTTTCCGGGGCCAACAACTTGAGAACCGAACGAAATTTCGAATTTTAATTGATTTAACAAAGTTTAACTTTGGAGATATATTAACTTAAGAAAAACATAACATTACTCTACCCAAGACAAAACAGACGCCTCAGAAATTCCTAGAATGATTACAGATTGGCGGTAGGAAAAGATCAGTGTGTGACATCAGATTCAAATTCAGAATCGGTTTTTTTAAGCACGCAAGTTTAAAAAAAATCAGGCAAAACACATTATTCTCTCAAAGAAACATACAGAACATTTATCAATATAAACGTCAATAAAACAACGTTTTCTTATATTCATTTTGTGCTTTCCATTTTTGTAAGTTAATCGGGGGATTAAACTGAATGACAGATTATGTTTGTTTACATTGACAACTTGTCCGTTTCTAAGAAAGGGCGACAACCAAGATAAGCGGCGATGTCTATACGCCGTATTGCCGGCATAATTACTGAATGCTGCTCGCCGTTATGCGACTGAGGCCCTCGAATTAATAATTCCAATATAACAAGAGCGCATGACTCTGGCAAACAGGCCAAATCGTCATTTTTTTGTTTGTTTAGGGCCCTGTATGTATTGCCCATAGGTAAAACCGGGCTATAACAAGAGCGCGTGACTATGTTAACGCATGGTTTTGGCCCCGTTATAACATGTGCAAAAGAGGGGAAAATAGCCGATTTTATGCTATAATTTCTATTTTTGAATCCACCATTAAATGTTACTTGATATATCAATAATAAAGAAAATTCTATGAAAGAAATTTCTTTATAGCTTTCATAATTTTATAGAATTCATGTCTATTTTTCTCATTTTTTGTTTAGTTAAAAAGCATGAAAAACTTGTTTTTTAAAAAAATATGTTCCAATTATCGTTTGTTTTATAGAAAGATAAAGCAAGCTTTGTATAAAATTATGTTAATTGTGTGTGTAATAAGCTGTCTTATACATTTTTATAACACAGTTTGGCTATTTTGACAATTTTGAGATATACGGTTACCATGGAAACTGCCATTTTTTTAAAAATCCAACACGTCAACATATATTTTTCTTTTTATTTTTGAATTCGTCATTAAATTTTACAGAACATATAAAAAAATTAGAAAATCCTATGAAAGAAATTTTTCAATATCATTAATTATTCACAGAATTCATGTTTATTTTTCTCATTTTTTGTTCGGTTAAGGAACATGGAAAACTCATTTTTTAAAGAAATATGTTCAGATTATCATTTGTTTCATACAGAATCATAAGATAAGGTTATCTTTGCATAAAACAATGCTTGTTGTGTGTTTTAAGCTATCTTATACATTTTCTATTTGTTAAAACACAGTTTGGCTATTTTGACAGTTTTGAGATATACGGTTACCATGAAAACTGCCATTTTACAAGAAATCCAACACGTCAACATATATTTTTATTTTTAAATTCGCCATTAAATTTTACTCATCATACAAAAAATTTAGAAAATTCTATGAAAGGATTAAATTTTCATAAAACTGTAGAAAATGTCTTTAAGTAAGTAAGTTCAATAAATTCGATAATGAATCTACAAGAATATAATATCTACTATTTATCACATACCTAAAATAAATCTGTATAACACAAATGACGTCACATCAAATTATATGCATAGCCGTGCAATACCATTTTTACGGAGTCGCAAAAGCGGCACAGTATGTGATAAACTAACTAAAACTATCTGTGTTCAGATTTCACTGGTAAAACATTTGACATTGACCCATAAATCCTCTTACCATTGGTGATACTCTGGTTGATAAGTTTCCTTAATGAAGCCATAACGTCCATTCTCAGATCTTCTCTCTCACTTATAGCTGTACCTAATACTTTAGCTATTCCTTTAAATGACTGAAAAATATGCATTTATTGTTGAACTCCTTTTAAGTTAAAATCTAGATATTTTACATGTCAATTCTAAAAATGTATATGTCCAAAATAAAATTGACATTTTATTTATAATAATTTATGAATAAAGGCTATGGAAGCAATTTTATGGGACCAAGAAATAAAATTTTGATATTTCAATATTACCTATTCAAATATATTCTATTTAGCATATACACTAAATAACTTTGACATTGTGACTTATACACAATGTTCTACTTTCAGTTACTGGTACCTGTTCTACAAAATACTGTTTTAAGAAATTTGATAAAAGAGAAAAGATATTTATATAGGGTTAACGCACGTTTTTCCGTGTTATAACGTCTGCAGAGTCCCGAGGAACGGTTGGTGCCCGAGCCCGGTAGGGCGAGGGCTCCAACAGTTCCGAGGGACTCTGCAGACTTTATAACACGAAATAAACGTGCGTTGACGCTATTATAGCATAAAATTTCCAAACAGATTCGTGATGTATAGTTTATACAAAACACAATTACATTAAATTCTTGTGCTTAGACGGTATTTATCCAATTCTATGTTTTACGTATGCGTTTCATTTTTCCGGGGCCAACAACTTGGAAAATTCTCGGAACCGAACGAAATTTTGAATTTTAATTGATTTAACAAAGCTTGGCCTTTGGAGATTTATTATCTCAAGAAAAAAAAACACGTCACATTACTCTACCCTCTACCCAAGACAAAACATGACCCTCAGAAATTCTTAGAATGATTTCAGATTGATGAGTGACATCAGAATCGTTTTGTTTTTTTTCAAGCAAACAAGTTTATAAAAAATCAGGCACTAAGCATTATTCTCTCAAAGAAATATGAAGAGCATTTATCAACATTAACATAAATAAAAAACATGTTCTCATATTAATTTTGTGTTATCTAGTTTTGTAAGTTAATCGGAGTGTTAAACTGAATGGCAGGTAGATTCTACTGTATTTGTTTACATTGACAACTGTCCGTTTCTTAGAAAGGGCGACAACCAAGATTAGCACCGATGTCTATACGCCGTTTTTCCGGCATATTTACTTGAATATGCGACTGAGGCCCTCAAATCAATAACTTTCAATATAACAAGAGCGCATGACTCTTTGGCAAACAGGCCAAATCGTCATTTTTTGTTTGTTTACTGGGCCCTGTATGTATTGCGCAGAGGTGAAACCGGGCTATAACAAGAGCGCGTGACTATGTTAACACATGGTTTTGGTCCCGTTATAACATGGGCAAAATAGGGAAAAATGGCCGATTTTATGCTATAATATTTATTAAATACTTTAATAAAGAAAAAGAATATAACAGAATTTTTTTTTCTTCCTACAAATACAGAATTTATTTTCATGTCATGGTATGAAAATTATCATATTTCACTAGTAGCTACAGTCACTTGTGAAATATACATTACTGATTAGAAATATATTTATACAAGATATTTAGAATTTATCAGTGTTATTAGGAAGTTTCACATTGTAACAATTGATTTTAAGTAGCTGTATTACCTGAGCAAGATCTGTAGGTCGAGTACAAAAACCAGGCAACATGGACCAAATCTGTAACTGTAATGCCTCATATGTTTTTGATGCTACTATATTCTGCTGATCAGACAACTCTAATGCTGAAATAGCAAAAAAACTTACATATAACATTCACAGTAACACATTCCCAAACAAGAAAAACCCAAATTCAACTTTTCATCCTTGAAATAGAGAAAAATGGAATCCCTAAATAAAGCCCAAAATGAGAAATTTGAAAATGTGGCAGACTCTTAATTGAGCCTGATCATGGAAAGCTCTTACCACCTGGTCCTTTTTTAAAACCCTAATTTGTAGCAACTTTCCAATTTACTTATGAAGAATATCTCTTCAGATTGTGCTCAACTTACCCATCATGTTACATATTTTAACATTAAACCTTAACACACTCAATCTCTTAAATTGCCTTGTCCATTGTTCAATCCAAGTAAAATCATTTATCATTTCATGTAAATTTTCAAAAATATTTACACACTGAATAGCAAACAAACCGGTTGCATGTGTAGAATCTGTTACCACTAGCAGGCTAAAGGTTAACATGCCACCTTCAACTAAATAAAACAGCTGAAAATCCAGTCTGCTCAAAACTATCACCTTACAAAGAACAACTTCATAATGTTTTATTTCACACTTAGTTCATATATAATCAAGTTCATATATAATCAAACTTTATTGGACTGAGGTATAATATAACCATACTGTAACCTCTGAGAAATTAAAACATATTTACCTTTATTGTTGCCACAATATGAAATAAGAAAAGTAGAATACAAACCTCTTTGTCTGAGTTTTGCTGCTAGTGGTAGGAAATATGATGTAAAGAAGCTAAGTTCTGTTTCTTGAACATTGTCTCTGATTACAGGTAATAACCAACTCCTGGGAAAATCTAGATCATCACTGAAATATATTACATGTAATATTCAATAATTCATACCTACAGGCTGTCCAGCACCTTCTGACAAACAAGAGGGCCATGATGGCCCTGAGGTCGCTAACCTGTATAAAGCCCCCCCCCCCCCCCCAACGTTGCAGGGCCAATTTAATCCAAGGGCTTTTATTTGCACAAACTTGGTAGACACCATAAGAAGATGTTTCATGCTAAACATCTAAGCTCTAGCTCATTGGGCTTTTTAAAAGAAGATTTTTTTAAAGTTTTTACTATACACATATAGTTAAAAACAATGACACCCCGGGGCCGGGCCAGGGCTTTTATTTGAACAAACTTTGTAGACACTTATTAGAAGATGTTTCATGCTTAATATCTAAACTCTAGCTATTTGGGTTATACACATATAAAGAAAATCAATGACCCCCGGGGCGGGGCCAATTTTGACCCCAGGTCTTTTATTTGAACAAACTTTGTAGACACTCACTAAAAGATGTTTCATGCTTAATATCTTAACTCTAGCTATTTGGGTTTTTTCAAAGAAGATTTTTTTAGGTTTTTTGCTATACACATATAAGGAAAATCAATGACCCCCGGGGCGGTGCCAATTTTGACCCCAGGGCTTTTATTTGAACAAACTTTGTAGACACTCACTAAAAGATGTTTCATGCTTAATATCTTAACTCTAGCTATTTGGGTTTTTTCAAAGAACATTTTTTAAGTTTTTGCTATACACATATAAGGAAAATCAATGGACCCCCGGGGCGGTGCCAATTTTGACCCCAGGGCTTTTATTTGAACAAACTTGGTAGACACCTATTAGAACATGTTTGATGCTAAATATCTTAGCCATAGCCCTTTGAGTTCTTTAAAAGAAGACGTTTTAAGTTTTTAATATATGCATATAGGGAAAATAAATGACCCCCCGGGGCGGGGCCAATTTTGACCCCAGGGCTTTTATTTGAACAAACTTGGTAGACACTTATTAGAACATGTTTCATGCTAAATATCTTAGCTCTAACTCTTTTGGTTCTTTAAAAGAAGATTTTTTAAGTTTTTACTATATGCATATAGGGACAATCAATGACCCCCTGGGGCGGGGCCAATTTTGACCCCAGGGCTTTTATTTGAACAAACTTGGTAGACACCTATTAGAACATGTTTGATGCTCAATATCTTAGCCATAGCTCTTTGAGTTCTTTAAAAGAAGAATTTTTAAGTTTTTTCTATATGCATATAGGGAAAATCAATGACCCCCCGGGGCGGGGCCAATTTTGACCCCAGGGCTTTTATTTGAACAAACTTGGTAGACACCTATTAGAAATATTTTCATGCTAAATATCTTAGCTCTAGCTCTTTGGGTTCTTTAAAAGAAGATTTTTTAAGTTCTTACTATATGCATATAGGGAAAATCAATGACCCCCGGGGCGGGGCTAATTTTGACCCCAGGGCTTTTATTTGAACAAACTTGGTAGACACTCACTAGAAGATGTTTCATGCCAAATATCTAAGCTCTAGCTCTTATGGTTTTTTAAAAGAAGATATTTAAAGTTTTTTCTTTCGGTTGCCATGGCAACCAGAGTTCTGCATGGAATTAAATTCTTTGAACAATTTTTAAAGGTGACCACCAAAGGAACATTCCTGTGAAGTTTGGATGAAATTGGCTTAGTGGTTTATGAGGAGATGTCATTTAAAGTAAAAGTAATATTCAATAATTCATACCTACAGGCTGTCCAGCACCTTCTGACAAACAAGAGGGCCATGATGGCCCTGAGGTCGCTAACCTGTATAAAGCCCCCCCCCCCCCCCCCAACGTTGCAGGGCCAATTTAATCCAAGGGCTTTTATTTGCACAAACTTGGTAGACACCCATAAGAAGATGTTTCATGCTAAACATCTAAGCTCTAGCTCATTGGGCTTTTTAAAAGAAGATTTTTTTAAAGTTTTTACTATACACATATAGTTAAAAACAATGACACCCCGGGGGCCGGGCCAGGGCTTTTATTTGAACAAACTTTGTAGACACTTATTAGAAGATGTTTCATGCTTAATATCTAAACTCTAGCTATTTGGGTTATACACATATAAAGAAAATCAATGACCCCCGGGGCGGGGCCAATTTTGACCCCAGGTCTTTTATTTGAACAAACTTTGTAGACACTCACTAAAAGATGTTTCATGCTTAATATCTTAACTCTAGCTATTTGGGTTTTTTCAAAGAAGATTTTTTTAGGTTTTTGCTATACACATATAAGGAAAATCAATGACCCCCGGGGCGGTGCCAATTTTGACCCCAGGGCTTTTATTTGAACAAACTTTGTAGACACTCACTAAAAGATGTTTCATGCTTAATATCTTAACTCTAGCTATTTGGGTTTTTTCAAAGAACATTTTTTAAGTTTTTGCTATACACATATAAGGAAAATCAATGACCCCCGGGGCGGTGCCAATTTTGACCCCAGGGCTTTTATTTGAACAAACTTGGTAGACACCTATTAGAACATGTTTGATGCTAAATATCTTAGCCATAGCCCTTTGAGTTCTTTAAAAGAAGACGTTTTAAGTTTTTAATATATGCATATAGGGAAAATAAATGACCCCCCGGGGCGGGGCCAATTTTGACCCCAGGGCTTTTATTTGAACAAACTTGGTAGACACTTATTAGAACATGTTTCATGCTAAATATCTTAGCTCTAACTCTTTTGGTTCTTTAAAAGAAGATTTTTTAATTTTTTACTATATGCATATAGGGACAATCAATGACCCCCTGGGGCGGGGCCAATTTTGACCCCAGGGCTTTTATTTGAACAAACTTGGTAGACACCTATTAGAACATGTTTGATGCTCAATATCTTAGCCATAGCTCTTTGAGTTCTTTAAAAGAAGATTTTTTAAGTTTTTTCTATATGCATATAGGGAAAATCAATGACCCCCCCGGGGCGGGGCCAATTTTGACCCCAGGGCTTTTATTTGAACAAACTTGGTAGACACCTATTAGAACATATTTCATGCTAAATATCTTAGCTCTAGCTCTTTGGGTTCTTTAAAAGAAGATTTTTTAAGTTTTTACTATATGCATATAGGGAAAATCAATGACCCCCCGGGGCGGGGCTAATTTTGACCCCAGGGCTTTTATTTGAACAAACTTGGTAGACACTCACTAGAAGATGTTTCATGCCAAATATCTAAGCTCTACCTCTTTTGGTTTTTTAAAAGAAGATATTTAAAGTTTTTTCTTTCGGTTGCCATGGCAACCAGAGTTCTGCATGGAATTAAATTCTTTGAACAATTTTTAAAGGTGACCACCAAAGGAACATTCCTGTGAAGTTTGGATGAAATTGGCTTAGTGGTTTATGAGGAGATGTCATTTAAAGTAAAAGTTTACGGACGGACGACTGACGGACGGACGCCGGACGAAAAGCGATCACAAAAGCTCACCCTGTCACTTTGTGACAGGTGAGCTAAAAATAGGGCAAATTTTAAGGCAATTTTGAAGAAATTTTAGGGCTAAAATTAGGAATTTTATGGTAGGTAAAAGAAATTTTAGGGCCAAAATTTGGAATTTAATAACTAAATTATGGCCCCAAAAGACCATGACATGGGCTCAACTTTGCATATTTGACACAAAAGTAAGTAACTCACAAATAATGTTCTAGTTCAATTATAACAAAGGTGTCTACCAGTGTTCCATAGTCACCGTGAATAAATGGATTCACTGGTCAACTGCCTTTAACTGCCTAATATGAATAAGAGCTGAAAAACTTAACTACATTAAAACATAACAAGAATGAAAACATTTTTAAAATTATGAGTATCCTGGAACAACAAATATTCAATTAGTTAAACTGTTATTTGCCAATAGTAAATGGAAGGAGAAAATATGCTTTAAATTTATTCTAGCTATAAATGCATAAAAAATTTATCAACATTTATTCAAGGTTGGTACATTTTGAACAAGTCTTGATCTTTCTTAAAAAAACAATAAAAAAGATATGACCCACTCAGGTCATTCCCAGGAATATTTTAACCTAAATTCAAACACCACTGAAGAATTTGTTAAAGATAGTTAAATAAGGGCTACTAAAAATTGTAGAAAATTTCACAGCAGAGTCAATCTATTCAATGATTTTTAACAGTTTTTTTTTCCAGATTTTAAAAACACATACACTAAATGTTATAACATATTTACAGTAATGTATATTGCATTGGTATGACTTATGTTAATGTGTACAAAAAGGGCAGCTGAAGGTGTCACTTCTTAGTATGCTAATTGGGGTGCAAATGGTATAAGCATCCAATCATTACAGCCAATTTACCATACCCACTTATATTACCAAATATGAAAACTTGTCTAGATCTGCCAGCTGGTATCCCTTACAAAAGATCTATTCTACAGTCATCACTTGAAAATAACTTGATTACAAATTAAGATTTTATGAACAAGAGGGCCATGATGGCCCTGAGGTCGCTCACCTGTATATAGCCCCCCACCCCCAGGGCCAATTTTTACCCAAGGGCTTTTATTTGTTTATTTGAACAGACTTGGTAGACACCCATAAGAAGATGTTTCATGCTAAACATCTAAGTTCTAGCTCATTGGGTTTTTTAAAAGAAGATTTTTTAAGTTTTTACTATACACATATAGTTAAAAACAATGACACCCCTGGGGCAGGGCCAGTTTTGACCTCCGGGCTTTTATTTGAACAAACTTTGTAGAAATTTACTAAAAGATGTTTCATGCTTAATATCTAAACTCTAGCTATATGGGTTTTTTCAAAGAAGATTTTTAAGTTTTTGCTATACACAAAAAAGGAAAATCAATGGCCCCCGGGGCAGGGCCAATTTTGACCCCGGGGCTTTTATTTGAACAAACTTTGTAGACACTGATTAGAAGATGTTTCATGCTTAATATCTAAACTCTAGCTATATGGGTTTTTTCAAAGAAGATTTTTAAGTTTTTGCCATACACATATAAGGAAAATCAATGACCCCCGGGGCAGGGCCAATTTTGACCCCAGGGCTTTTATTTGAACAAATTTGGTAAACATCCATTAGAACATGTTTCATGCTAAATATCTTAGCTCTAGCTCTTTGGGTTCTTTAAAAGAAGATTTTTTAAGTTTTTACTATATGCATATAGGGAAAATCAATGACCCCATGGGGCGGGGCCAATTTTGACCCCAGGGCTTTTATTTGAACAAACTTGGTAGACACTCACTAGAAGATGTTTAATGTCAAATATCTTAGCTCTAGCTCTTTGGGTTCTTTAAAAGAAGATTTTTTTATGTTTTTACTATATGCATATAGGGAAAATCAATGACCCCCTGGGGCGGAGCCAATTTTGACCCCAGGGCTTTTAATTGAAAAAACTCGGTAGACACTCACTAGAAGATGTTTAATGCCAAATATCTTAGCTCTAGCTCTTTGGGTTCTTTAAAAGAAGATTTTTTAAGTTTTTACTATATGCATATAGGGAAAATCAATGACCCCCTGGGGCGGGGCCAATTTTGACCCCAGGGCTTTTATTTGAACAAATTTGGTAGACACTCACTAGAAGATGTTTCATGCCAAATATCTTAGCTCTAGCTCTTTGGGTTCTTTAAAAGAAGATTTTTTAAGTTTTTACTATATGCATATAGGGAAAGTCAATGACCCCCTGGGGCGGGGCCAATTTTGACCCCAGGGCTTTTATTTGAACAAACTTGGTAGACACTCACTAGAAGATGTTTCATGCCAAATATCTAAGCTCTAGCTCTCAGGGTTGTTTAAAAGAAGATATTTAAAGATTTTTCTTTCGGTTGCCATGGCAACCAGAGTTCTGCATGGAATTAAATTCTTTGAACAATTTTTAAAGGTGACCACCAAAGGAACATTCCTGTGAAGTTTGAATGAAATTGGCTCAGCGGTTTATGAGGAGATGTCATTTAAAGCAAAAGTTTACGGACGGACGGATGCCGGACGGACGGACGCCGGACGAAAAGCGATCACAAAAGCTCACCCTGTCACTTTGTGACAGGTGAGCTAAAAAGGTCCCCTACATAAAGTCTGATGAAATTTAGTGGTACCTTTAAATGCACCTGAGACTGAGGTAAATGGTAAAACTCTGTAGCAAATAAAAAATATAATTTGCTTGGAAATTTTTATCTCTATTTTAAACAAGTGACTATTTTGATATAGTCAAAGTCAGACAATTTTCATATTTAAAACAAACAGTTTCTTATTGTTTTTCTGATAACATCTGGCAATTAATCAAGTATGGCATTTCTGCAGGTGTTGAAGTAAATACAACTTAAGACTATATGCAATTTAGTCAGACATGACATCAGTGCCAATGACTGTGTTAAAATTCAGGTTTTGATTGAAAAATGGTTGTATCGGGATATATAAAAGATAAAAAAATAGGAATTTCAGTGAAAAAATAGGGCATTTTTAGGAATTCCCTTTGAATTTTTCATTTTTTTAGGAATTTTAGCCAAACTGAAAAAAATTAGGATTTTTTAAGGAATTTTAGGGACACTGGAACCTATCAACAACAAATGAGCCGCGCCATGACAAAACCAACATAATGGGTGTGCAACCAGCATGGATCCAGACCAGCCTGCGCATCCGCGCAGTCTGATCAGGATCCATGCCGTCTGGATCCATGCTGGTCGCAAACCCATTATGTTGGTTTTGTCATGACGCGGCTCAAATACCTCATCAATTACAACAATATGGTATGACTTTAATAATTTAAAGATAGCCATGAACAAGTGAGGGAAATTATCAGTTATTTACTGACACTAGTCGGTTAATGATTGGAAATATCCAGTATTCACTGAAATATCCCCTAATTTAATCAATCCTATTATTTACTGAAATGATCCTATTATTGATTGAAATTATTCAGTTATTTACTAAAGCAAATATCAAGTTGTTTTTTATTATTATTATTATTTTCATTCTGAGGAAGCTTATACTAAATAAGTTTAAACAAGAACTTTGTCTATAGGACACTGGTGCCACAACATTCCACTTTATTGTTACTCACAGCAAGACAGCAGGGTGGTCAAAAGCAAGCCTTTATACCCCCTCCCACCCTTCACTCAAATCAGGGGCACAAAAATAAAAGACAAAATATATCCTGTAGATTACACATATTATCATTTTTATCATAGTAATGCAGCACTTCAAAGCCTTATATTTATGCAAGAACCATGAAAATTTTTTTAGTACAATCAATGTTTGTTAAGAAATCTAACCTCTGCCCTGTGATCTGTAGAGGTATTGCACTAAGCACTGTCCTAGGACCCATTGTTTTAACTGCACAGCCCACAGCATGGTCAAGTTCTCCTTTGTATGGAAATCTTACACTGTCTCTTAGTTCAGCTATTGTTGACAAACTCTGAAACCATGGTAACATGATATTTTATTTCACATAAAATGATGCGTTATAGTGTTACAAATCTATTTTTTATACAGACAACTCATGAAGAGGTAAAATACTTTCTATTTTTCAAGTAAATTAAAACTTAAAGATTTGAAGAAAAAAGACTGACCATACAAGCGATCTATCCATAGCAATGCAAACATTTTTGTTTCTCTATCTAGTAAAGAACTTTTCAAACATAAAATACTAAGAGTAAACTAAAGGGAAGCTGTGACTAAATGATTCAGGTATCTTTCATACAACCACAGGACTGCGGGTTCTACTCTTTAAAAATACTTGTTAGTTCACAGAAGCTAACTTGAAACTTCAATTTCACAAAAGCATGATGGTGTCATCACAATTTAGCTAAAATTAACATGCTTAAACTAAAATCAGGATAAATTAAAACATCATTTCCAACATAAGCTTACCTTGGTAAATGCTGCAGGTGACTGTTTGCCTAAACTCTGAAAAAGTAAGTGGAGATTTATGTTATATTTTGTTGATATAGGCAGAAAAAATGCGTGGTTTACAACTGGTATACATTTTATATAAAAAATCTCTTGAACATTTTGGCTTGATAATTCACCCATGGGAAGTGTTAAGCTGATTTCAAACACAAAGTTTTTGGCTTACTAATTCAACTGTAAAAAGATTTTAGTTCTATAATTCAACCATAGAAACCATTTTGGTTTTATAATTCAACCAAAGAAAGTATTTTGACTTTATAATTCAACCATAAAAAGTATTTTGACTTTATAATTCAACCATAGAAAGTATTTTGACTTTATAATACAACCATAGAAAGTGTTTTGACTTTATAATTCAACCATAGAAAGTATTTTGACTTTATAATTCAACCATAGAAAGTATTTTGACTTTATAATTCAACCATAGAAAGTATTTTGACTTTGTAATTCAACCATAGAAAATGTTTTTGACTTATTAATTCAACTTTGGGAAAATTACATAATTGGAATATTCTTACCTGATATAATACGGCAAACATTTGAAGTACAAGTCCCCATGAGGCGTGAAACTGATATCCAAGTCCACTCTCTATTGCCTTTATTATCTTATGTATAGATGTATTACCTGCCTCTGTATTTAACTGTGGTGCCAAACTCTCGGCTAATAGGGCAATACAACTGCTTATCACACACTGTAAACATAAAATATAAAAAATAAACAAATGTAAGTAGGTTTCATTACAGTTCTTCCTTATCATGTGCTTTTTTCTATAACTTTTCAATACTGCTCTGTTAGAATAAATTTAAATAAAATACATAAATATATTGTGAGTTTTATTGACACAATAATAATCACAAAAGTAATATTTAACATCTTTTCAAAAACAAAGTAGCATATCTCCAGAATCATGAACAATTTTTGAAAAGTAAAATGGTGTGCAGGGAACGGAGGAAGTAATTGACACATTACAAACAACATTTACAATCCATGTAAATTACAGAAATGAGGTCAAAATATGCAAAAATAGTAGAAATACAGTGATAAATATTGCAAAATCAGTCATAAATCCCACAAGACATGTAAATTATTACTTGAATCTTTTTACTTTTCTTAAAATCTTAGTATTATATTTTTTTGAAGTATGTTGGCTTATCTGGAGGCAAGCAGCTTTAAGTGATTAACAAGTAAGTAGACAAATCAGTAGATAACTTAATTAACTAGATGGTAGACAATTCATTCATCAGTACACAGCTTATTAACAATTAGACAATTTTTAAAGCACACTATTTAATTAACTTGTAGACAACTTAATAAATTATCCAGTAGATGACCTAGTTAACCAGTAGAAAACTCAATTAATTAACAAGTACACAATACTTAATTCCCTAGTAAACAACTTTATAAATTTACCAGTAGACAACTCTGTTAATTGACCAGGCCAGTAGACCACTAAATACTTGTAATATATGGAGTAAAGGGTTAATACTTGTAATACAAACCTTCAATGATTTAGCAGCAGCTTGTGTAATTTCTGGTTTTACCGACAACAAACACACCATTCCAGCGGAGAATAGTCGTGGTAAATGACTTATACAAAGTTTCCCATCCAAACTGAAATAATGAAAGTGATAAAATATGTTTGATAATATCACGGCAAAACATTTGTCTAATGAAATTTCTGACCTTCTTTATAATCAATATTAAGTTACATTCCAAGTTGCAAATAGAATTTGTTTTCCCAATAGATCAACAATTCAACAACAAAATTCCAAAACAAACCAGTAATGCCAAAAGGTGATTATTGCTGTATAATCTGTCACCAGTTTTCAGCTTAGCAATTTTTTTAATACTCAGGACTAAAGGCTACCATTCAAAATTATGAGGAAAATGCTCATTAAATTTCTTATCCCAATGGAATGGGCCATGCTTCAAAAATTGCTGAAGAAAAGAACTGTAAAAGCTAAATACTGTTCAGGAAACTTAATAATTGTAACTTTTGTCAGTCCTGAAAGAAACTTTTAAAAATAAAACATAAAATAAAATTTAACTCACCTTGATAAATTTACATGTGCTGTTTCCATGACAACTAGCCAAGCTTGTGTTGGCTGGACATCGTTTTCTGATGGCTGGTAATCATACAAGGCCTAAATTATAAAATCAACACATGTAGCACAACTTTTATAAATGTTTTTGAAGTCCAAACACTCATCAAAAACATTTGCGTTTTTTGTAATTTTCCAAAAAAAAATAACTCTATGTCACCTAATCACCTAACCAAATCTAGATTTGTTTTGTTTGGTTTTACAGCACACCAACACAATTTAGGTTATATGGAACCTAAACAGTGAAGATGATTTTGGCTAACCTTGGATATAAAAAACTAAAATCAACATCAGGTGTCAAAGCCACCTCACCTGCTGGAACTAAGAGATGCATAGACTCCAGTAATTCAAACCCATTTAGTCGCCTTTTACTATCATGCAGCCTCGAATTTGGTTGCCTCAAAAAGCAACCCCTCAGCAACAAGGTATAACAAAATCTATACATCAAATACATGTAGTTAGAGCATGTGAGCCTTTGGGCAGCTTGGTGCATGTTAAACTCCTACATTTCTCTAACTCTCACAGAATAACTTTCAACATAATTACCCTTTTTCTAACTATACAACAGATAATCTACTTACTGTTATAATTTGTGCATTGAGCTCAGCTGGTAGGGTTTCAGGTTTAGGTTTTGCCTGGAACAAACTGTGCAACACCTGCATACTGCTGGCAGTTACCATCTGTGTATATCAGATATATAACCATATATAACATTTGTACATAATATTAAATCATTTCTCTTCTTATACTGCATGTCTGTAACTTCAATTTTCATTGAACTATTGTGACATTTAATTTCTTTAATTAATATATGACTTTTGCATTTTGTGAATTTTCATTTCAAATCAATTAAGCAGTTATGCAGTATCATAAGTTTGTTATACTTCTAAGATGTAATAGGGTACAAATCTCCATTAATAAGGTAAGTATTCTCAAGAACATTGTATATGTCAATCTATATCGAGAATAATAGCATCGCATGTATAAACATTTTATTTCACACTAGACTTGTGAATCAATCATGAAAAGATTTTTTTTGTGTGATTATCTATTTTATACATGCATGTCTTTACAATCAAATAAAAAGAAAAGGTTGTGTACATACCACATTGCTAAGGGTCATAACTTTGAGTATAGTTTCACATACAGTTTTCACACTGTTCTGAGGAAACACAGGAAGAACTTGTTTCAACAAGGATAATGTATGTAACGTATCTATAGCCTCTCCCATACCTAAAATCATATAATATACTTCATGATCCTTAGATTCTTTATACAATTTATTCATAATCTTTTACACATCAATTCTTTTAATACAGTGAAAGTTGAGAAAACCGGACGGCTTTCGGACCGAGGGTTTTTTCCCGGTTTTCTCAGCGGTCAAGTATTCTCAATGTCCCCGTCAGCTGTTCAGGATCCTATGTACCGAGCAATGACTTACAAAGGATGCTGTATATTTGATTCATGATCATGTGTATGTATATTGCTAAATGATAAAAATACAATAAAATATTTTTTAATTATTTTTGTCCTATTATTGCATATAAATACAATAAAATTTTGGATTTAAACCAACAGCAGTTACCTCATAACCATAAAGTCTGATTACATCCGTATATGCATTTGGGTAATGGATAATGATTTAACGAACATAGTTTACTTTATTTGTTTATAATAATGCTCCCATTGTTAATATTGCCGATACCATATTTTTCAGATAAAGGTTTTTAAATTAGGTCTCGACAAAGTTTCACTGTCTTTAAATTTATTTAACTTTGTCACTTATAGACAGTTCTCGTCGAATGCTTTTAGGCCATGGAATAGAACTTAGCACCAATAAATGTTGTTCCACTGCGTTGTCATTTTGGGAAATGAATATACAAAAAGCCACGCAATATAAAAATACTCTTTTCTTTATTCATTACCAATTCATCGTGCATTTTGGCATTTATATAAAACAGTAAAATCTATGCCTTACAATAAATCAAACTGAGAAAAGAGACATAATTAACAAATAAGACAATCAGTGTTCCATTACAGCTCAGGTAGAGTTTTAGACACAACCAATTGACAAGTACACAAAGTTATTCACACCTTCGTCGTCCGGTATTGATAGGGTAATTGTCTATATAATTGACTTTGTAGTCCCCTATTAACTGTCCGATATTCGGTTTTTACAGATTCCGGTATTGTCAATGTTTATGCAATAGTTTAAAGAAGAGAAAATTTGGGACTGAATAATTTGTCCGGTATTTAGAAAGTTCCGATTTTCACAGCCTCCGGTTTTCTCAAATTTCACTGTATTAGATTGATAAGAGTATATTGTCAGAGTTAAGAATATTCCTGAAACTCAAAATTGTGAAGATGAAATTGATCAAAAGTTCATGCAATATACTTAACAGAATAAATAAATGTTATATTAATTCATTTTCTAGATAATAAAGGTTTTAACCCTTTTTAGCAATGACAGGAAAGTGGAATCACTTCAAAGTTGTTACAGATTAATTGAAATAAATGTTTTGTCCTTGATTTATAGCTCTGGGGTTAGTATCTCGAAGCTATCGTTATATTTGCGTTAATGAACGTGCTGACGATTGACGGAAGGTTGGTGAACGAGAGACTAGCGCGGGTATCTCGAAAGCGATAGTTAAGTAATCGTTCGTTCCTTACTCGTTAGTTATTAACGATTGAATTATGTAAACATTTGAATACCGCGAACAGTGTGTTCAAGCAGGAAGGAATGGTCGTAACAAAACGTAAACCAAGAAAAATTGCAAATGTTGAAAATTCCTATGAAACTGACGTGATTACTATTGAAAGGTAAAAACTTTAAATAGAAACAGCAAGACTAGTAACTGAGGGAAAACGACTGTAGACTGACGATTGTGCAGTAAAGGCTGCAAGTGGAAATCAGACATTTTAAACACTTTACTAAGTCAAAACAAATATTCTGGCCGAGCTTCTTCTCAATACCCTCCCTCATTTTTTTCAGGCTACAGCAATTAACATGTTTCAGGGTGTAAGTATACGCTCAAGATTCAAACTTGAAAAATGTTGCTTTCATGGATGAAATATTGGAATTGCAAATATCTAAATGAATGTAAATAGCGAACATTCAGTCGTCATAATGTCTATTTTGAAAACTAGTAGTCTGTTTATTTAAACACATATCAGGACAATAAATTAAGATTAAAGTTAGTCCATAACTCGGCTTAGTATACAATGTAAACGCTTAATCTCACCATAATTAATCTAGAATTCTTTTTTCTTATGTAAGTTAAAAAACGATCATGATATACCAGTGACAATGTTTATTTCTATGATATTGATGATGATACAACGACGACAGAGAGGATGGTTTAAGTTTTAAAGAAATATTAAGATGTTTTTCGTTTGAGTGAAATATAGAATATGTTCACGAAACAATATAAATTTCCATATATTTTCACGAGCTGGAAATCTTAATTTTACTCTTTAAAAAGAACTTCCGATTTCGAAGCTTTATAAATTCGTTATAAATATTCCTGACAAGTATATGGCCGTATATAAACGGTAGTTTGCAATATCAACCTCGCCTGACGGCTCGGGTTATATTTACAAACAACCGTTTATATAAGGTCACGTCACCTGTCTAATATTAAAAAATATTATTTTCAGTGGATATTCACTAAGTTCACTTCAGTGTTGTTATATTTTTCTGGTCCTTCGGGATCATTGATGCCAGCACTATTAAGTGTTGAGAATTGGGTACCGCTCAAGCCGGTGCGAGGGGGCGTGAGGGATGTTGCACGTATTCATTATGTCTCATGTACAGACTCAATCAAACCGAGTCAGCAGTTCTCTTGTAATTTTGTTGTGACTAATGCTTCCGAGGGATCACTTTGTTTCCAGATTTTTATGTAATCTTCTGTTAATTTATGGATAAATTTTCATTTTGTCTTTAACAAAGGATTAAGAAAGGATTATGTATTACAAATTTAAATATAGCAAGTAAAAATATAACAGCTGGTGTTGGCAAGAGCAAAATATTTCAATCTGTTACGTTCAACAAACAAAATTTCCATATATTTCATGCCTCTCTGTTGTACTGATTTTTGCAGCGTAACGTAAAGCATTTTTCTTCATGTCATTAAATCATTACATCACAGGTAACTTTTCGAAATATAATTCTGTAAAAAGTACCGAATTTTGTTACATTTTTAACATTATGTACATGCAAATATTTATTTATATTGTCTTGTGCAAAATTACACATTTCAGAGTTTATTCCTTTCGATGCTTCAGTTATTATATGAATTTTTTTCATCTGCATTTAAATTTACATCTTCATGTAAACAAAAAGAGCTCTTACATATGTTTGATATGTGAGAAAAAGAAATAAAATATCATATTTATGTAGGTTCATCATTTTTATCAATAAGGTGATATAATTCTCATTTTTTTGTGTATTTTAAATTCGAAGTATACTTCCTTTTGTGCCAAAGTGATAGTAACGAGAGCTATACGACACCTTCAACGCAACCGTTAATAATTGGGCATTTTAACGATTATTCGTTAATTACGAGAGTTTCGAGATACCAGTAAAAACCTTAACGAGAGGCTTACGACAGTCGTTATGCTAACGATAGCTTCGAGATACTGACCCCAGATCCATGCTGCAGTCTGTTCTTGTCATTAATTAGAGCTAGAAAAATTATTTTTCCCAAGTTCGATTTAAAGTAATACCGATTCTGTAAAGGTCATTTGGCAACTTTTCTGCAATGCTGAAGGAGGAAAATTCTGGTTTCTCTCAATGTATTATTTCAGACACATGCACACATTTGAAAAGAGCCACAGTCCTGCTGTAAGTTATCTGAATTGTGGCAAACAATAATGTACTTTAAAGCATTCACACCACATACCTCCTGTGGCCTCAATGACTTGTATACAATGTTTGGCTGTCATGGCTGCAGCAGGGTGATGTGACGGGGAATTGTCTTGTAGCATAAATAAACTTCCCTTTAATACAATACATACACCTTGCTGTGCTGTTCTCCTTATCTGTAACATAACACTTCTTTGTTTTATAATAATAAACGAAGTATATGTGTGTTGTGTGAATATATCAATCAAAATATTACATGTCAAGTTTCAAATAGCATAGAAAATGAAAATTTTGATGGGCATTATAAGATCACCTTTGGTTTCTTGTGAGTTATGAATGTAAGAAGTCCCTTGTAGATTTGTTGTGTGGAGGAGTTGTTCCATACAGCACGTTCTTGTGATCGTAACACAAATGCCAACGATGTAATCAACTGTAAATAGACCATAATTATAAATTTTTCATATTAAGTAATGCAGAACTAACATGAAATTATCACTATGCCCCTTTAAATAATCAAAACATAAAAAAAGATTATGCAGCATTTTGGACTTTATCAAAATATAATTCATCACAAATTGGCAATGTCATTGTAGATTTCTATCTCTGCAATGTAAATAAATGATAACTAGGACAATGCATTTACAAAAGTAAATGCTTCCGGACTGAACAATTTTTTAAATAAGTATTTCTAACGTCTAGTCTCAGAAAATCATCATCTAAAAAAGTGGTAAAAGATGAATGGCATGGAAAAATTATAAGCTAGGGCTTCAACTTTAACTTGCAAGTAATACATACTTGTTTGATATAAGATTGATGCAATTAAACTGGCAGTATCATAGAGGTATAAGAGTAATACATGTCAACACCAGGACACATTTAACATTAATTCATTTAGTCTATTTAGTCTATCAGTTTCGGTCAACAATTAAACTTCAACAGGACAAAAATAATTCAAAATATTTTCTCTGAAGTATAATAAGAACAACTTACAGATTTAAGAAGAGAAGTAGCATCTTCATCAGCATACTGACCCATCAAATCAAGCAAACATTTTGAAACCTCAGAAAATTTATTCCTCAATACTGGAACTGGTACTCTGAAAAATATTACATTCTGATTCAATTTTATGTACATTTAGTTTAATTCATGAATATTTGAAGTGTCACACATACCTGTGAATAAACAAGCAAATTCGTTGAATTTATATCCCCAGCCGAGTACTGGTTATTATTAACACAACAACTGAAGACATAAGGCTTTATTTATATATTTATCATGGGGTAAACAGTAATATTCTTAGGACAATCATAATAAATATTCAGGGCAATAACAGAGCCTTAGTGTTAAATAGTAATATCTGGACATGGCAATGAGATGTAAATTGCCTTTTTGTATCTATGGTTCCCTTAAAGTTTTGTTGAAATCAATACAGCAGTTGCAAAGAAATAGCCATATTGCTCTATATGTATACTACATAACTAATCAAGGGCCATAACTCTGTAATGAAGGGTCTGGTCTGAACAAGGCAACAAAGTATGCACATCTCATCTTGGTATTAATGGTTCCCATAAAGTTTAATTGAATTCCAGCAAGTAGTTGCAGAGAAGTAGCTCTATATGCATACTGCATAACTAATCAAGGGCCATAACTCTGAGTTAGTGTCTGACCGGAACAAGGCGATGATATGCGCATCTCCTCTTGTTTTTGAAGGTTCCATAAAGTTGGCCCTATTTGCATACTGCATAACTAATCAAGGGCCATAACTCTGAGTTAAAGTGTCTGACCAGAACAAGACGACTATATGCGCATCTCCTCTTGGTTTTGAAGGTTCCAATAAAGTTTCGATGAATTCCAGCAAGTAGTTGCAGAGAAGAAGCATGGAAATGATTATTTCTCTATATGCATACTGCATAACGAATCAAGGGCCATAACTCTGAGTTAAAGTGTCTGACCGGAACAACGCGACTATATGCGCATTTCCTCTAGGTATTGAAGGTTCCCATAAAGTTTCATTGAATTCCAGCAAGCAGTTGCAGAGAAGAAGCATGGAAATGATTATTGCTCTTTATGCATACTGCAAAACTAATCTAGGGCCATAACTCTAAGTTAAAGGGTCTGACCGGAACAAGCCAACAGTATGCGCATCTCCTGTTGGTATTGAACGTTCCCATAAAGTTTCGTTGAATTTCAGCCAGTAGTTGCTGAGAAGTAGCACAGAAACAATTATTGCTCTATATGCATACTGCATAAGTAATCAAGGACCATAACTCTGAGTTAAAGTGTCTGACCGGAACAAGGCGACGATATGCACATCTCCTCTTGGTATTGAAGGTTCCCATAAAGTTTCATTGAATTCCAGCCAGTAGTTGCAGAGAAGTAACGCGGAAATGATTTTTGATCTATATGCATAATGCAAAACTAATCAAGGGCCATAACTCTGAGTTAAAAGGTCTGACTGGAACAAGCCGACGATATGCGCATCTCCTCTTGTTATTGATGATTCCCATAAAGTTTCATTGAATTCCAGCCAGAAGTGGCAGAGAACTAGCGCGGATGCGAAATTCGGATGGATGGAAGGACGTACTCACAAAATGTGACTTTTCCTTTGATCTTTTTGGCTGTTTTAACTCACACAAGGCTTAAATAAAGACACACAAGTAAAAACGGAATGAATAGGATCAAAGAGAATTTACTGTTACCCATTGTTCTCCAAGTCACACAAGTACCTCTTGGTTCGTACGGAAGGATGGACGGAAGGACAGACGGACGGACAACGCCAAAACAATATACCCCGATCTATCGGCGGGGGATAATAAAGGTACTATAAGAAACAGCAAGTGTGCCAGATCAAATTGGCAACTACAGTCTAACTTGCCCATGCGACCACGTGTATTAAGCGACTTTTGTCTTATGCGGCCACTTTCAATTCCCCCCGTCCATTTTCTCTCTATATCTTTAGTGTATTAAGCGACTTTTGCTCAACGCGACTAACAACCGCTAATTAGTCAGCTAATTGAGATCAATCTTTTCATTAAACGACCACTTTTATCTGTCAAGTAAATGTGTTCTTAGACTTCTCATAATGTCACAAGTGTCAACAATCAAAACACAATATATAAATGTGTGAAAAACTCTATTTGCCAAACCGTTTTAGTGTATGCAAATAAAGGTAAGGCCGTCCTTAAAAAAATGTTTGTTTGCAGTAACCCGACCCAGAATTTTCAAGGTGGGTAGGTAGGTCGATTTTTTTTTTAAATTTTTTTTTTTATTGAACTGTACTCCCAAATAAACATGGAATTTAAAAATGCTGGACAATATATGCTTTGATAATCTGGTAACAATTAATAAATTGACAACTGAATTCTAATTTAATAAGAGCTACATTTTATTTCTTCTATTAACCTTTAAAAGAACAAAAACAAAGCACAAGGCATAATTTTCTGATTCAAAAAAAATATTTTTTATCCAGACCATGAAAAAAAATTTGAGTAGGGGCAAATTTTGTGAGTCGGTCGCGTTACTGCAAACAAACATTTTTTTAAGGATGGCCTAAGTGTACGAGTGACATGTATTATCCAATAATATCGATAAAACAATGCAACGCTCCGCCCCTACTCAGATGGTGTATACGCTTAGCTGTTGATATTTAGACTGCATTGAATTGACCTTGAACTTGATCAGCAATTAAATTAATCGTTACAATCAGATGTAGTTTGTTTTTTTAATATTTCAAATGAAAAATGCACAACAGAAAAAAGCTTCACTTATCAGGGTTTTCGTGTTGGAAATACAACAGAGATTTAAAAAATTCTGGAAAAATGTCAAACATGTACGTAATGGATCAAAACTGATTTGTCAATAAATATCAGAAAGTTATTTTTTTACATAAGCATCCATTTAGATTATTGGAGCGTTCTAATTATTAAGCATTTATATAAATGAAGTTGAAAAACATTCCCACTGCAAAATAAAGATGTCATGTATAAATTTTGACTTTTTATCATGCTTTGTCTTAAGAGACCATTTCATTAAGCGACTGTTTTGGGTGTTTCCCTTGCGCAGTCGCTTAATACAAGTTTGACTGTATATGCTTTTACCAAAACATAATTATATGGGAGTTAAATTTTAATCAACACAATAATTATGATCACAAAATATAGCAAACATAAGGCTCCCTCCCTGTCATGAAAAATTGCTCAAATTAGCAATAATTATTATTCAAACATATTACTACTATACATACCTTTTTAAAACTAGTGACAACAGATAAACAATGGCTGTAATAGACTCTACACCTTCCGCACCTTCTAGTGATGTCATCTAAAACAATTTCATATCATTATTTCACGTTAAGATGTATGTCAAATTATGTTTAGTACTAACATTAAAACATTTAAAATCCATAAATTGTGTACCTCATCTGCACATATCATACTTTACTAAGCCATTTACAATATCAGTAAATTGTCTATTCTCTTGTTGGCTTATGAGACAAATAATAATCTACTAATCAAAATCAAAATGTTTTACACAAAAACTTGGTAAATGTTTATCAATTACAATACAAACTTGGACAAAAATGCTCTTAAAATTCTGATTTAACATCTTTAGCTCAACAGCATTCTTTTAATCAATTTTATCATAGTTTGGGGACCTTTCTGTTGAAAAAGTGTCAGAGTAAAATCGTATACATATACATGCACAGAGCGGTAACTGGAGTGCAGGTATCAGTTACCCGCACTGCAGATAATGCCCGTTGATTGGTTCATTTTTGATCAGATAGCCTCGTGTTTCGGTGCTCTTTCTATTACTTATCAACTTCTAAACAAGACGGCATCCATTATAACAGTCCTATGTCACCAGTATAGACCTAAGCCTGTCTGCACTATTTCATAGTCTGACCAGATTCTATATGAGCCGCGTCACAAAAAAAACAACATAATGCGTTTGCGACCAGCATGGATCCAGACCAGCCTGCGCATCCGTGCAGTCTGATCAGGATCCATGCTGTTCGCTTACAAACCCTATTACAAGTAGAGAAACTGATAGCGAACAGCATGGATCCTGATCAGACTGCGCAGATGTGCAGGCTGGTCTGGATCCATGCTGGTCGCAAACGCATTATGTTGGTTATGTTGTGACGCGGCTCAAATCATAAGTAAGTTTTAATATCTGTAGCTTTTTTTAAATAACTATTCAATGTTTATGTCAGAGTAAGTCAAGTTCAAACATCAAGCGGCATTAGGGTAATGTAAAGTTAGTGTACCAATGCAGCAAAATATTCTGTCTCGGTTTCTTTTCCACCTTCTGACTTTATCACTTCTGTCACGGCAGCAAGGACTGCAAGGATCTATCCATAGTAAAAAAATAAATGTTTTTTTGTTATATCTCTTTTCTCAGTTATCATCAAAATAACCACACCATTGAATTTCATAAATATAAAAAGATGAAAACACAACCTGTTACTAAAATCAGAAAAATAGTTCTGATAATAGTCTATCCTAAATTGTTATTGTTCGTGGGAATTTCTCTTCTCCTACTGTCCCCAACAGTTCCAAAACAAACATCATATATGTCATATCAGAAACTGTGCTTAAAGTACATTACAAACTGTGAATGAAGAACAAAAATCTCTAAATTTAATGACATAAACTTCCATCAAAAATACCTTACACAATTATAACTAGGACTTTCTCCTATTAAACATTTTAATTGTATAACATCCAACATATAGAATGCAACAAAGAAAAAATACCTCCTTGTGTAGAGCCGAATTAGAGGCCCAGTACCGATGAACTTTGCTGAATGTTGCATTTGTACAGTCTGTCCAATTAGTTGCCCATGTTTTAAAGGTTCCCATAGTCTGCTGATCTGATTCTGTTGCCATGGATTCAGCATCATTTTCACCTTGACTTTTGTCATGTTTTGCTAGGGCATCAACAGTCAATGTACTTGGCCCTAAAAGTAAAGATTATAGTCTTTAGACATAGTGGGTGAGTATGTCACAGTACAGAACTGTTCACTATTTAGGGGAAATGATGTGTAAGCTGCAGAACAACTCAGTTTTAAGAGCTCTGGACTGTAATTCTAAAAGTCCTGGGTTTCCCTGTCAGGCTGGATGTTTTTCCAACCCTTTGACATTTGGTACCCAACAGGGGAATGTGACTGCATATAGCTTTAGAAGAGTTTAAATCACATTGATCTGTCAACTGAGAAATTTGAGGATGACTTTTAATACGGGGGAAGTCAAGGACGGGTCAGAGAATCAGGCTCAGGCTTGCCTGGCTATAGACTACACATGTATATTCAAAAGGATTGAAATCAAATAAATAACAATTAAAAAAATTTTCTATACCTATCAGTGAAATTTTCAGTGTCATGTCTAGTTGGGTGCCGCCATTTTAATGTAACTTAATGATAACAGGCGGAGCATTCCGATAACAGAACAATCACAACTTTTCGGCTTAATAATAATTGTTGTGAAATGTGTGTATGGAAGTGATGGCATGGCCGAGTGGTAAACGCATTGGACTAGTAATCTAATGATCGCTAACCGCATGGATTCAAACCCCGTCAGGGGCAAGTCGTTGTTTCCTTGAGCAAGAAACTTTACACTCATTGCTCAGTACTGGTTGGTTTGAAAGTGTGTCTATTATCTTTTAGCTTCCTACACAATCGAACTAAAATAAATTCTGTATAAACCAATAATTGTTGAGGCGTTCCAAATGAAAAGGGAAGCAGTGCTGAATTCCGAATGCCACCTATAAAACAGAAATGTAAAGCAAAAACAGAACAACTTCCACATTCATAGGCTTTGCCTAATTTCATATTCTGGCCGGAGAGTAGGTCACGGTTCAGAACTGTTCACTATTTGGGTGAGAAGATGGTAAGGAGCCGGGCGGTAGAACCCCAGAACAGTATTGCTAGTAGTCCAATATATTAGACGTTACAGGCTTGTTATAGTTTTATGTCGGTCAAGCCTAATGTCTAATAGTTATTGCTCATAAAAGCATAGCATCTTAACAAAATTAAAAAATGTCTATTGTCGTGCCTTTCAAGCTTTATTCAAAAGCTTATTATCTTTTCTTTCAATTTCATGCTCAATCATTAACAAAAGCTCTCAAACAATGTACTTATCAATTAAAAATAAAAAATAAATATCAATCTATTTTTTCCTATCGACCATACTGGTTAAGTAAAGGGCTTTACAGATTGATTCCAAATTTTTTGATGGAAAAATATATTCAAACACACTGACGGTGCATGGGCAATTATTTCGTTAAAAAAATATTTTGTTAGAAACTTCTGACTCATTTAAACGCTTGCATTTGAATTAGCCAATCAGATCTCATGCACTGCAGGTTTTTATTCCAGGATTTAGGGAACACGACCCATACCCATGGAATTGGGAATTTCAGCAATGTTTTGTTAAAAATTGGGACAAAATGCATGACTGAAAATTTTGCAGTGATTAAATGGATGCAAACAATAACTGTCTATGATGGCATCTTCAAACATTTAAGCACTATTACAGTGAAGAAGCCCTTATTTGCAAAGATTTTAAAAATTTTAATGAATATTTTTATTTTGTAACTTTCAATTGGGAATTTTTCCTGTGGATTGGGAAAATAATATACTATTTTCAATTGGGAATATGACCCAATAACAGCTATAAAATAAGCCAAAAAAATCCCTGCACTGTATCGCGGCCATTTGTTTATCGGCTGTATAAGGATTTTAATTAAATGAGAGGATTTAATCATGAAATCATGATTTTTCGGATGTGACAGTTTAATTATTTTGTTTAAAGGTAGTTATTTTTTAGTTTTGTTCATAAATAGGTCAAAATTAATGTAAAGGAAGTTCTAGCCGTACGTGAGTCTCGTACGACTAGCCAGGACTCACTGTATTGTCTAGCCGTACGGCACTTTTCACAATTATATGGAAGTCGAACATGCATATGTTATTTTGTGCCTCATGATTATGATTTGTTGTTTTATTTGTGTGAAAGATGAATTTTTGTTAATTAAACACATGAATCGAATAAATAGGATCAGTGTGGAATAAATAAAAAGAACATTGAAAAAAAAAAAACGGTGAAAAACAAATATAATTGTATAATTTTCAAATACAGTAGATAAATATCGAACAATAAAGCACAATCAATTAATTAGCCTTAATTAAAGCCTACCCAGGGACTGAAAATAGAATTTTAAAATGCGTTTCACAGAACATGCAAACTTTCCTTAATGATGGACAAACTTCTATACCGTCGGTAATTGACGCAATTATCAGAGCCCAACAACACAGTGTGTTCTTGCTAGTCGTACATGACTCACGTACGGCTAGAACATTTGGCTAGTCGTACGGGCCCGTACAGCTAGCCACTTCCTAATGTAGATACACGCTGTCTTAATTGTTTAAATGCATTAGACAGTTAGATCTAAATCGATGTCTAATGTCAAATTGTTTGCTACCCGTTTTTGCAGTGATCTGTTAAGACCTAACGGAACATGGAAAATGAAACGTGTAAAATATCAGATTAACATGATTAATGAATGATAAATATGAAATAGGTAACCGTTCTAACGTATAGGTCTTATAATTAGGACTATATTCCGAGGGTTCCGGTCAAGCTGCAATTTTTACCATCCTGTGACATTAGACTTAACTTGCACAATTTGAGAAACACTGTATTTCATACCATCATTTTTACTGAAAAATCTATTCCTTGCAGCTTCTCTGTAAGTCTTCTTTTCTGGATTTGACGTTGAACTGTGGCCCTTTTTCCATCTTTTCGCTTTTCCTTTATGCAGTCTGGGAAGTTTGCTGGTTTTAGTTTTACTTCCCATTATGTTGTATAGTTTTCTTTTTTAAATTGTTACATTAAATACCTCAATATTACAAAATAAAAGTATAAAAACAACTTCAAAACATACACATGTGCAATTTTACCGGAAGTTAATTTTTATTTACATCGAAGAGAGTATTAAAGGGAAGTTAATCTTGCATGTACTATCACAAACTCGCAGCGGTTACTTCCCCTGCTTTGTACAGTAACCACTGCTCGGTCGAATCACAGGCAATCGGTGCGTGGCTTGGATAGTACATCATCATGTATACATGTACATGACCACGCCAACTTATTTTTTATACATATTTTTTTTTTCACTAATAAAATATTTTTTCATTCAAAATGTTTTTAAAATATCTTATTTTCAATAAATCAACAAGTTACAAAGGAAATTTGTTTTTAAAATTTTCATCCATATATACTATAAATATAGTACTATATTTATAGTATATATGGATGAAATTTTTAAAAACAAATTTCCTTTTGTTGATTTATTGAAAATAAGATATTTTAAAAACATTTTGAATGAAAAAAATATTTTATTAGCGAGCTCGACGAGCTGGCCCGAAGGGCCTGCTCGCAAAACGAGCTTTACGGTAACGCGAGTACCTGCTAAGTGATGGTTTTGAAAACTTTCGTCCGAAGTACCGAATTGGACACATCGCAACTTTTCGAATTTAAAGATAACGATAAAAACCGAGGAATTCTGACTGAAAACGGATGTGTAGACTGGTCACGTGCACCCGCGCACGTCTATGGGAACCATAATTGGACAGGGAACCAGAATAACGGAAGCTGTGTATAAAATTGAAGGCGCCATTTTGTTTGAAAAATCTGATAAATAAAAACAATTTTTTGTCGAATTTTGTTGTGAAAACTATCTAGAATGAAAGAAAATGGTCTAACTAAGAAAATGAATCCGAACACCAATATCTTTTATTTAGTCGTTAACGCTGTACAGACGTTTAAAGTATTGTTTACGTGACGTCACAATGTAGCGCCAAACAGCACGTGCAAAACAATCAAATCAAGTACGCTATTTTAATGTCGCAAACGTTTTAAGTTTAACATTTATTTCACTTTTATTAATCTTTATTTCGCTTGAAAAATTATAGAGTGAAATAAAATAAACAAACAAAGTTTTATCAACGTTTTCAAAACTCGATATTCATATAACGACAGGGGCGGAGCCATATTTAACACAGTACGTGTGACGTCACACGCACTCTTCACTGCATTTGAGATTATTTCATACTATTTCACGTTCAAAGTACATCGAGCTCGCTTTGAGGCTTTGCCTTTTTCATATTAGTGAAAAAAAAAAATTTTATAAAAAATAAGTGGGCGTGGTCATGTACATGTATACATGTACAATCCAAGCCACGCACCGATTGCCTGTGGGTCGAATATAGCCGGATATATTTTTTTCACTTTTAATTTTAAAATAGAATACTTTATAGCGAGCTCGACGAGCTGGCCCGAAGGGCCTGCTCGCAAAGCGAGCTTTACGGTAACGCGAGTACCTGCTAAGTGATGGTTTTGAAAACTTTCGTCCAAAGTACCGAATTGGACACATCGCAACCTTTCGAATTTAAAGATAACGATAAAAACTGAGGAATTCTGACTGAAAACGGATGTGTAGACTGGTCACCCGCGTACGCCTATGGGAACCATAATTGGACAGGGAACCAGAATAACGGAAGCTGTGTATAAAAAATGAAAATCAAAGGCGCCTTTTTGTTTGAAATCTGATAAATAAAAGCAATTTTTTGTCGAATTTTGTGGTGAAAACTATCTAGAATGAAAGAAAATGGTCTAACTAAGAAAATGAATCCGAACACCAATATCTTTTATTCAGTCGTTAACGCTGTACAGACGTTTAAAGTATTGTTTACGTGACGTCACAATGTAGCGCCAAACAGCACGTGCAAAACAAACAAATCAAGTACGCTATTTTAATGTCGCAAACGTTTTAAGTTTTACATTTATTTCACTTTAAATAATCTTTATTTCGCTTGAAAAATTATAGAGTGAAATAAAATAAACAAAGTTTTATCAACGTTTTCAAAACTCGTTATTCATTTCACGACAGGGGCGGAGCCATATTTAACACAGTACGTGTGACGTCACACGCACTCGTTACTGCATTTGAAATAAAAATGAGCGATTATTTCATACTATTTCACGTAAAAAGTACATCGAGCTCGCTTTGAGGCTTTGCCTTTTTCATATTAGCGAGCTCGACGAGCTGGCCCGAAGGGCCTGCTCGCAAAGCGAGCTTTACGGTAACGCGAGTACCTGCTAAGTGATGGTTTTGAAAACTTTCGTCCGAAGTACCGAATTGGACACATCGCAACTTTTCGAAATTTAAAGATAACGACAAAAACTGAGGAATTCTGACTGAAAACGGATGTGTAGACTGGTCACCCGTTCACGTCTATGGGAACCATAATTGGACAGGGAACCAGAATAACGGAAGCTGTGTATAAAATATCGAATGACAGTTTTAATACGGAAAATGTAAAATGAAAATTGAAAGCGCCATTTTGTTTGAAATATCTGATAAATAGTCGAATTTTGTTGTGAAAAATATCTAGAATGAAAGAAAATGGTCTAACTAAGAAAATGAATCCGAACACCAATATCTTTTATTCAGTCGTTAACGCTGTACAGACGTTTAAAGTATTGTTTACGTGACGTCACAATGTAGCGCCAAACAGCACGTGCAAAACAATCAAATCAAGTACGCTATTTTAATGTCGCAAACGTTTTAAGTTTTACATTTATTTCACTTTTAATAATCTTTATTTCGCTTGAAAAATTATAGAGTGAAATAAAATAAACAAACAAAGTTTTATCAACGTTTTCAAAACTCGTTATTCATTTAACGACAGGGGCGGAGCCATATTTAACACAGTACGTGTGACGTCACACGCACTCGTCACTGCATTTGAAATAAAAATGAGCGATTATTTCATACTATTTCACGTTAAAAGTACATCGAGCTCGCTTTGAGGCTTTGCCTTTTTCATATTATCATTTTAGTTTTCTTTCGTTAAATAGTTATGCTTAATGTACAAGAAAGTAAAAAAATATACGTATTTATACAAAATATTTTGTAAACATGTTACGTTATATTAAAATCCATTAAAAATTAATAAAGTTAATAAAGATTTCGAGATATATATATTCACGGATTATGAAATACAAGTATTTCTTATATAAAATATATAAAAAAAACAATAATAGGAAACAACGTGAATGTTACGTAACGTAACGTGTATACATGCATAAAACAGATGAAGTATTATATTGGAAAAAGTATATAATCATTTTATAATAGAATGTCTACGCAAAAGAATCTACGGAAATAATTAAATGTCGTATATAATTTTTGCATTTAATCCAGATGGTGAAAAAGTTTATGAATCCAGTAGGTTTCTCTACATAGACGCTCCATTCTTGCATATCAGACAGGATTATCTACCGTTTTCACCGGTGCTAGAAAACTCTGTCTTACACCCCCCATGTAAGACAAGTCGCGTGCGTTAAATGACGTCATTGACGCGCGCCTTTTATGAATGAATCGCGTTCTTAGGATGACGTCATTTTTCCTTATGAATGAAGTTGTATGTTCATACGCTACTATAAGAAAAAAGTGCGTAATGAAAATATCAGTTTTCATAATTTCTGTTCCGAAAATAATTGACATGCAATATGCAAGAAAAAGAATCAAACACTGGCTGTCGGTGCAGACGGGAATATCTAGCTCTCGGGTAACTGTTTAGCGGAAACTCGGCAGAGCCTCGTTACCGCTGTAAACAGTTACCCTCAAGCTAGATATTCCGGTCTGTACCGGCAGCCGGTGTAAGATTCTTATATTCAAGGGGCAGGACGTGATTCTGTTTTGACGAAGTTATTGAAGATATAAACTGATCATGTAGATATTTTGAAATTTGACATGTGACTGTTCTGGTCGGTTTTTCTCCTAATTTATCCGAATCTGTAAGTTTTGAACTGCATTTAACAATAACAAAATATGTTTCTGTCAATGCTGTACAAATGGTTTAGTTCGCAAGTCCGAAGATAACATTCAATACACAAAAATATATTGTTCAAGCACATTTTGGTTGCAGACTTATACTTCAAGCATTTTTGGTTGCAAACTTTTGTGTCAATAATGTGGCATGCATATTTTTAGCGAGGAATAACTTATCTTTTTTTTTAATAATTAGCAATATTAAGGCAATTATACCTGTTCATCTAATAAGAAATATATATACAAATTGTACATGCGTGCAGATATATCCTAACACAGGGTCTTTCAAATAGATATAAACACAATATGCTAAATTGAAGTTCAGTTGTGTTTATCTTCATCATTTTTTTCTCCTCGATATACTTCTTTTCTTTTTACAAAGTCTTAGGACTTTTTTTTATATCTTGGCATGACTAACTATAAAGGAAAAGAAGAGAAAAATAGCAACAAACAGCTTTCATTATTGTTCTTTTTTTTTAAAGATTTGAAATAAATTTGATTGTATAGTAGATACAAACTATATTAACATTGACACAAGGGCATTATTCACATGTGTCTTTAAATTGTTCTTTATTATTGACCAATCGAAACATCTTCCAAATTCCCTAACTCGAACAATGACTTTAACCTATACCCCATGAGCATATTGCGAAAAATGGCCGTTTTCATTGAAAAGCCTCCTGTAACAAGTTCAAACTGCTATGAAACTATGAAAAATGCTCCAATACTAATGAAACTTGGCACAAATGTTGACTACACCATAGCCTCTGTAACAGCATGCTCAATGGTAAATTTCCTGTTACCATGGCAACGGGGGGGCGTCTCAAAATTGCCAAAAATCACTATTTTGCATTGTTTTTTTCCATCAAAACTGATTTCAAAGTGCTGCAACTTCTCAATGAATTGAGATAGAGTAAAAGGCTTTTCAGCGCCGGTTACTAGTTACCCTAAGATCGACCTGAGGCCATTTTTAGCCTGTCACATGTCCAAAATTTTCTTGGCGATGAGGGGAACTCCGCCCCCCTTCAACCCCCCCAAACAGAAGGGGGCACATCCCCCTTCTGGCAACCCCCTGATGTAATATTTGGATGGGGGACGGCGCCG